CAGGATCGAACATTGTTTCGTTCTGCTGTGCATGGGGTCGCTATGAGTCGGTTCCGACTCGATGGCACCTGACAACAACAACAATACAAAGGGGAGGAGTCGTTAATCTTACATTACAGGAACAGAGGTCCATTGGGCCATCAAGAGGGAAGAGCATGAGTGGAACGTGGGATCCTAACCAGAGAAGCAGGGATACCAGAGATGGAGGCAGAGGTGATGACAAAGAGAGATAGAGAGCAGCTGAGGATTCTAGCCCCGTGGAAAGAGAAAGACTGTATGCCAGGATTCTGACTTGGAAAAAGTACCCTTTGGCTATTTAAACAAGTATGTTTTTGTGTACATCAAAAAAAAAAGGGAATAGAGGAAAATACTCTTAACCGATAGTTCCTGGAGGGGATTGTAATCATTCTAATGAAACAAAATACGATTGGTTGAGTGCAAAATCAATGTTCTGCCACGTAAATGATCACTCAATTCACAGAAACAGCTTTAAAAGAAAAAAGAATGGATTGCATTTGACTGCTGTGAATTTGTAGTGACTGCTTTTGAAATGCTTTCTCCAGCAGTACTACTGCAGGAGGCAAAGAGCCATTGACTCAAAAGCACACCATCATTTAAGAGATAAAAGTAACATAAACTGTTAGTTGAAGATAGAGAACTACGCTTTTATTTTGGTCTGAGGAGAGGAAAGGTATGGCTCTTCAGGAAATCTCTGAATACTGTGGCTACTTTTCTTTTTTTAAATTGTGGATTGGGTGAAAATTTATAAAGCAAATTTATCATTCAACAATTTATACACATTTTGTTTTGTGATAACTGGTTGCAATCCTTTTAGTTAGCAGTATTCCTCATACTTCATCTCCGAGCTCACCATTTTCATATATCATTCTTTCCTGCCTTTTTAGCTTTGTTTGGGGAAAATAGTGCTCTTTTGGTCTCATATGGTTAATTATTCTGAGGAGTATATTCCTCACAAGTATTACTGTTCACCCTATAGATGTGTCTGTTGTTTGGCTGCAAAGTGATCCTCAGATTCAGGTTTCAAGGGTGTTTTAAGAGTTATCGTCTCAACGGGAAGTTTCACCAGTGTCTTATCAAATCATGAAATCTGGTCTTTTTAATGATTATGAATTTTGTTTCACATTTTTCTCTCACTCTATTCAGGACCTTCTGTTGAGATCCCTGTCAGAGTTGTCAGTATTTATAGCCAGCACCATCTAGTTCTGGTCTTGAGTAGCAGAGGCTGTGGATCATGTGGTCTATGTGAGCCACTATTCCTTTGGACTAATTGTTACTTTGAGTCTTTGATTTCCTCAACCTTTTTTCTTCTAGATGTAGAGAGACCAATAAATGTCTGGTTGCTAGTTTTTAAGACTGCTACTGTTACTCACCAGAGGAGAATGTAGAACATTGTCTTTGCAAAGCTGTCTTGCCATTTAGCCTAGGTGTCCCCCAAGACTGTGGTCCTAAACCCCCAAACCTAGGTGACTCATTGCCTCAAGGTGTTTGCTTATTGCTAAGAGTTTTCATTACTTTACCCCCTGTTTACTAGAGTGATGGTGAGTGGTATACTTTGGGGTCGGTTCTGACTCATAGAGGCCCTTCATAGGGTTTCCAAAGCGTAAATCTTTACCGGAACAGAAAGCCTCATCTTTCTCCCACGGAGTGGCTGGTAGTTCAGACTGCTGACCTTGCATGGTTAAAGATTACAGCACATATAAATATATATGTAGAAATAGCCTCTGTCAAACCTCTTTAACTGGTTATGGGTATAGTTCTATTTGCCATCCATACCTACTCAGCTTGTATGACTGACTGTGTATCCACTTGTAGATTATTGTTACCATTGATACTGCCAGATTGTGTATGAATAGTATTTACCTTTGTTTATAACTTTTGTGTATCTCTGTGTCTTCCTTTGCCTTTGTGATTATGTACTGATCTCCTCCTTACTGTATATTCACTTTCCCCTCACTCATATTAATTCGTATCTATTATTGATGGCAAGCTCTGGTATCACACTGTAGGAAAAGCACTAGTTTAGTAACCACAGAGTTAACAGTTCAAACCCTGAAACCCTACCCTATACAGGGTCACTGTGAGTCACAACCAACTCAAGGCACACAACAGTGACATTATTGATGGCAGTAGGCTTTACCAGTTAATGATTTTCACTCCACTTCCTTCTCATTCCTGGTAACCATCAAAGAATGGTTCTTTCTGTTTGATTTTTTTTTTTCTAAATGTTTTATTGTGAATTATGTGATAGTTTACATGGGAGAACATTAGCTTTGCATTCATCCTATCGTATATAGTATCATTGCCGTGGTTAGAATCCCCGCCATGCATCATCAGCCAACCAAAGGGTATGCTCTGCAAGCCTGTCCCCGGTCGTCAGCACACAGCCCCTCTCCCTTTCTGGGTCTAATGTCCCCAGCTGTTCCTTCTCTCCACGTCTCGTCTCTGCCTTCATCTCTGGCATCACTACTTCTCTGGGTAGGGACGTCTGCTCCTAGAATGCAAAGTCAATCACTCCCCTCCTTTGCTACAAAACTTCTGCCTTTACATTTCTAACCCTGACAATCAGTCCTGATAACAATTATTTATTATTGTGTCACAAGAGACCTATCCCTATCTCCTTTCATCAGTCCCTCCCAGACAGATTGTATACTACTCAGTGGAGATTCTACCTTCCTCTGAGCCCTCTGGATCTAGGCTCCTTCTTGAAAGCTTGTAAGCCAGTCACTTCTTGCCTATGTAGCCTCCCCATTTTGGGTAGCCAATGTCCAACTTGTCCATCCCTGTCTACTCTGTGCTTTGAATTTTACTCAGGTGCTTTCACAACAGATAGATTTATATGCATTGAAGTTGAACTGGGTGGCTGATTTATTGATTGAGTTTATTTTACCAAAATTATTTTCAATGAAGTTTCTTTTTTCTTTTTTTTTTTTTTTTAATCTTTGTTGTTATTAAATGCCACATCAGGTTGATTCCTACTCATTGACCCTGTATAGAGCTTCCAAGGAGCAGCTGGTGAGTTTGAACCACCAACTGTGTGCTTTGCAGTCCAATGCTTATCCTACAGCACCACACCAGGAATTCATTATTGGTGTAAGAGCTACGAATTGAAAGGCTGAGAGATTTTGAAAAATCTTAACTGAAACATATTAACTAATACTGAAAAATATATATTTAGATAAACTTAGAGCTATCAAATTTATTTTCTCAAAATTTAGGAGGCTAGAAGTCTGAATTCAGGGTGTGCGTCGGGTCTCTTTGTTGGTTTTGAGGAAAGGTCCTTTGTCTCTTAAGATCGTTTCTTTCCAGGTTCTTGCTACCTGGAAGCTCTCATGTGGTATGGGATCTATCTTATCCCATCTCTGCTTCTTTGCCACTTACTCAATACCTGCTCTTTTATATCTCAAAAGAGATTAAGTTACCCAACACTAATATTGCTACATCAGCGTAACAAAATTCACTCCCAAATGGGATTTTAACCATAGATAATAGGGGTTAGGATTTAACAACACAATTCAATTTATAAGATTGAGACACAGATGTGCACAAAGTGACTAAGATTAGTGTCATTGGCTAATCACTGCATCTCTAGCATGCCACAGGTCAGTGCCAGTGACCATGTTGTGAAAGAGACAGGTTATGTTTTTCTAAAGCTCGCTTCAGGGTGACAATAAAAGGAAGGGAATGGACTCTAATGAGTGTGTGAGGGAGGCACCTCAGTCCCCTCTGCCCCTAGAAACCCAGATCTCACGTTTTCACCCCCTTCTTTTCCCTACTCTTCTGTGTCATCAGAGGCTTCATCCCCCTTGGTTTGTCTTGGAGTGTTTCACTCATGTTCCCACATCCTTCCAGTTTCTTACAACCCAATCTGATACAATTATGAACACTTCTCTGTGCTGTTGTGTTGTGAGATGATATGTGAAACAATAATTTTTAATCTATAAAATGGAGAAAGGTAAATATTTAGATATATAAACTACCTCTTCTAATCTTTATCCATCTATTCCATAGCTCAGTAATTTGTAGCGCTTTCTGTTCGCACACAGAAGAGTCCAACAGGGGCCTTCAACTCTAGGTTTTCTCACAAATTTTTCTGTAGAATGTTGTTATGTGCTCTATTTGGGAAAACCTGACTACATAGAGAATTCAGTTTTTGCCTATCTCAAATCATGTCAATGTCAATAATATCAGCAATATAATAAATATAGAAATAGTTGATGCAGCCTATTTAATAATTCAACATTTTTACTAATTTTTGTTTTTGTTACTCAACAGGTTTGATTTGTGGATGAAATGAATCATGATTTTCAAGCACTTGCATTAGAATCTCGGGGAATGGGAGAGGTAAATATTTATGAATACTAAGAATTTATACTTCAGTTTTGATTATTTGAGCCATTGGAAATTTTTAGCCATGAATCTTGAAAATGATGGTTATGTCTTGCAAATGATGTTAGGTTTAGCTCATACAATTCTGTAGTTGGAGTGATTTTAAGATTTTTATGGTTGTTTTTAACTTACAGCAGTAATTTTTAGTGTGATTATATCTAAGTTTATCTGATACATGTCTTATATTTTGATAATTAACCACAATTAGCTTTACTCAGAATAAAACTTTCTTTACCCTTGTCCTGCTGCTGTTATGTGTGACTGCTTACTGTTCTCCCTTCTAAAATCTGTCTTGTTCACCCATATTTTTTTGCTTAGTGTATTCCTAATCCTCCATAAGAATACTGAAAAGTTTCTTTCTTGTTTTCCTGTTGCTATCTGCAATTAATTACTTCCTCATCTCACTTTTCAGTTTCTTATACATACTTTTATTATATTACTTGTTGTTAAGTGCTTTCGAGTCAGTTCTGACTCATAGCAACTCTGTATAGGGTTTCCAAGGAGCAGCTGGTGAGTTTGAACTACCATTTTTGTGTTTCAAACTGACCTTGAGGTCCAGTGTTTTATCCCACAGCACCACACCAGGACTCCAACAAAAGTTTGTTTTATATTTGTTTCTCCTCCATGTAGTTTGTTAGCTTTGAATGTCTTGCACGTAGTGGAGTGGTGGTTGTTGTGTAGGTACTCTAAATTTTTAATGGATTTTATCAGTGTTTATAATTTTCATTGGGTGCACACCATTACGTATTTTAATATATAAAAAAAGTACTTAGCTTACAATAATCATAATGAATATTTAGAAAACTTTGATAAAGAAAACCCCTGCGGTCACCTCTCTGTCAAGTTCTATAATACCTAAAGTGTATACTTTGATAATAGAAGATAACAGTGAACAGACGTGTAATTAAACTGCTTGCTCATGGAGATAATTTAACTTTGGTAGATTAGTCCAACATGAGACTCACTCCATCCAATGCTGTGCTCTTCAGATGCAGAAAAAGAGTCCAGTCACTCATCTGGGCCACAAGAGGGCACCCTGCAGCTAGCTAACCCTCCCCTTCTCCAGAACAGCGTTTTCCAAAGAGTTTCTCATTTTCAGAGGACTGATTTAAGGGTGAGTTAAGGTGCTTAAGCATTGAAAATAAACTTGTTAGTCCAGTACAATAAGATAAAATTGTAGACCCTAAGAGAAATTTGAGGGAGGGAATATTTTTGTTCAAACAGATTACAAACCTACAGGTTTTTACCGTAGTATAGTTGCTGTATAGGCATTATTTTCATTATTGGGGAATAAAAAGAGGCTATTGAAATGGACTTTCATTCTTTTCCTGTCACTTGGTTGTTTTCTCTGATCTTTAGAAAGCAGAATAGCATATCTTAAAGTAGGTTTGAATACTGTCTCACTTCTGGTCTTTAACAACTGTGAATTTGCTCATTCTTTTAAGAACAAATAGAGTCACACCCCTATTTAATTCTAGTTAGCTATTACCCCCTCCCATCCACAACACACTTCATTTCCCAGATCTATATTGTGTTGTAGTTGTTATGTGCCACGGATTCGGTCGGATTCCGACTTACACAGAGTTTCCAAGGCTGTAAATCTTTATGGGAGCAGAAAGCCTCATCTTTCTCCCGCGGAACCGCAAGTAGTTTTGAACTGCTGACCGTGAGATTAGCAGCCTGATTCGTAACCACTGCCAGAGCTATACATTTACAAATTGCTTTTTTCTCCTTTCCTTGCTAAATAGCATTTGACCACTCCAAATGCTTTGCAATTCAAAAACATGTCATGATCAAAAATAGTAGTTGTAAGGGGTTAGTTGTTTGGGGTTGGAAAAGAGGGGAATGTGAGGTTGTGGGAAAAAGAATTGAGGTTGAATTTGGGGTTGAATTAGTGTGTTAAATAATATCTAGTCTTTCTTCATGGAAATGTTAGATATGTATAGTAAAAGTGTCACGGAGTTAAACTTGGTAGATGCAACAGGTCATAGTGCGTCTGTGACATTCATCCAATAAAAAAATGTACTTTGAAATAAGCTGCTATTCATTAATTTACTGTTACCTCTAAGAGATAGCTAAGAAACCTCAGATTTCTATCTCTGGGTTCTTTCTCCCACAAGCCTTTCTATCTTTCCTCATCTCATAGGCAGCAAGGAACTTTCTGGGATTTCCTTCTTTGCCTGTCTCTCTCTCACCAGTATTCTCCTCCTTTCCTGACAGGTGAGGTTTTTTTGGTTTTGTTTTATCCCAGAATTTATTCATTGGAATACATTAAAAGCAGCCTTCAGTTTCTGGCTGTTAATTTTTAAAAAACTGCGTGTATATTTTTAAATGCAAAATCCTTTTTTTAACGGATTGCTGTAGTCTTTTCTTTTAAAAATAAGTTTTTGCTCATTGTAGCTTAAGTTGTTGTAGCTCTCTAATGTATAAAGAACTGCATTTATATAGGACTGATTTCGACAGTACTGCTTTTTGTAACTCATGATGATTTTACTGACCCATTATTAGAAGGGTAGGTGTAGTGTCTTCTAGTAGTTCAGTAAGAAATAGGGATTGTTATGAATTTATTCAGTCATAAACTCTTTTCTATTGTTTTATTAATGGAATTTTTTTTTTTTGGGTCAAAACATCTGAGTTAAATTATGACATACAGTTTAAAAGGATCAAAGATAACCCATGGGAGGTTAAACTCAGCTTCATTAGGAAAATGTTTTAATCAACTGTACTACAGAGACACATCTCTCTCTACTTGTTAGCTTCTCTAGGGTGTTGGTACAGATTACCTAGGTACCTGTTTATTTTTTAAATTTGAAGAAGACTCTACCTGAAATTCTTCATGGAACCCAGAACTTAACTTTTAAATTATTGTGTTAATGTGTTTTATTTGTAAATTTCTATTTTTTTCTGAACTCAGTCATGAATAGTATGACTTTTAATAAGATAGAGTTCTTTGATCACAGTAATAAAAGTCTTTTATATGTATATATCTCAAATGCTCTAGTTCTGGTATGAATATAGGGATAACTGGCATGAAAGTCAATTATTTCAAACAGTATTAACAGTACTTATCTTGCTTCATCTCTGAGTTCCCTGTTTCCATTTTTCCTTTTTCCTGCCCCTTCCTGCCATCTTTGCTTTGTTTTGGGTCACCTGTTGTCCTTCTGTCTCATATGGTGGATTATTCTCAGAAGTACATTCCTCACAAGTATTATTGTTCACTTCATAGGCCTGTTATTTTGCTGCAAATTGATCCACAAGTGTGCGTTCAGTTTTGGGATCGAAGGGTGTCAGTCCCCAATAGTTTGTCAAGGCACTGTGCAGAACCATCCCAGAAGACTTCGGAACAGTCTACTCAAGGGGCTTCTATTGTTTTTACTACCTCAAAAGATTAGCCTGTTTCATATATTTTACTATGATAAATGCTACTACTAGTTGCTGTAATGTCTTTATTTTGGATTCCTTATCTGTTGCTTTTGTGAGCATAGTGACTGTAGGATAAACACTAGACTGTAAACCACAAGGTTGGTGATTTGAACCCATCAGCCACTCCATGGTAAAAAGGTGAGGCTTTCTGCGACTGCAAATATTTACAGTCTCAGAAACCCTATACAGGGTCACTATGAGTTGAAACTGATTGATGGCACTTAGTGACAGCAATCTGTTAACTCTTATTTTGATAACGAGACATTTTCCTTTATGAAGTATGCGGTAAAAGCACTGCTTTGTCTAAAATGGCTTATTTTTATATATAGTGTTTTTCAGAGATTAACTTAGATTTTACTAAAATTGAAAGTTCAGTTAGTTAAATGCATTATGTTTGATCCTTGTATTATCAGCTTTATTTTTTATTTGAATATTTTATATGATTTTTACAATGAATTTTTAAAAGATACACACCAAAGTCACAGAGTAGGTTGTATTTTATTTACTGGGATGTTTGTTAAATGTCTATACTTTAAATACAAATCATTTGTTGCCTTGGAAGGATCCTAGTATATATAAAACAAAAAAAGAAAAGAAATTTTTCTGAAATACAGAAGTTAATTTTTAAAATTTAATGCTTTTTTTGGGGGGGAATTCCCCCCCCCCCTTGGGTCAACAGCACTACCATCTAACTTGTTACCCAGGTTTTTAAAGTTTCATCATCTTATCCAATCCTCCCTCTGTTGTGTATTTAGATCTTACTGACTCTTAAGTAGTTCTGTAATCTATTTTGTTGTTTTTTTTATTCTGCTAATACCCTATTTCAGTGCTTTTCATTTTGGACCTGTTGTAATTCTCTTAAATGGTCTTCTTGACTCTCTGTTCTTTATTCTTTCCTATCCATTGGTAGCGTAGTGGTTACGAATCAGGCTGTGAATGAACCTCAGGGTCAGCAGTTCGAAACTACCAGCTGTTCTGCGGGAGAAAGATGAGGCTTTCTGCTCCCATAAAGACTTATAGCCTCGGAAACCCTGTACAGGGTCGCTATGGGTCAGAACCGACTCCACGGTTCATTCATTATTCTTACTGCCACTTGAATAGTTTTCTAAAACATAATTGTGCTACTGCTCACCTGTCTTGATTCATACTGCTCTCAATATAGCATCCAGTATCCATAGCATTTATCTTTAAGAGTCCTCATACTAAATCTGTTTTACCAGCTTCAACTTCTCACCTTCCCTCATCTTATTCTGCATCTTTCTTTCTTCTGTACACTGTATTTTCTCAAGTTTTGTCTTTGTTTATACTTTGCTTCACCTTCCTCATCCTCCACTCTCAGCTTTCACCTTCAAAACACACAAATTTTACTTACTTTTTAAACACATTCCAGGTGTTACTAAGTTACATTCTGTGATAGTTTGTATGTTGCAAACTCTACAAATGAGGGCACTATGCCCTTAAGAAGTAAAACAGGTAATTTAGTGTCTAAGTACAATAATGGAAGTATATATAAGTTGGTTAAGGAGCACTGAATGATGGAAACGTGATTATGGCTTAGAAGTGATAGGAGTTTTACAAATGATTCTGTGAAAAATAATGTCTCAAAACACCAGATTACTCTTTGTCAAGCATCTATATCCCCATTCCACTTCCTGTCAGTGCTCAGGGAATATACATGAAGATCTGGATGGGTATTAAATAATAAATACTAATACTCAAGTGTTTATTTTGAGTATGATTTGGTATATGATGATAAAAGATACAGTATAGAGGTTCTGGTGGTGCTGCAGGATGAAGCATGGACTGCTTAATCACAAGGTTGACAGTAATCCACCAGCAGCTCTGCAGGAGAAACATAGAGGCTGTCTGTAAAGATTTGCAGTATTGAAAATCCCATATATGTTCACTATGGAATTGGAATCTACTCGATGACTGGGTTTGGTTTAGTTTTTATAGTGGCTTCAGATTGTAATCTCACAAATATTCGCATCTTTTCCTATATGTGTCTATAGTATTCTTATTTGGAATTGACAAGTTGCTAGTATTCAGGAGCTAGTAAGAGTTGTGCCATTCACTTCCATTGAGTAAATGAAATAAGAATGAAAAATATTTTCTTTGCTTGAAGCTGTAGGATAGAAATGGTCCACAAAATAGGACACTACTTGGATGGAAGTGAGGGAAAATTTTAAATTTATGTAGACATTTTATTTTGTGACCTATTCTTGAATAAAATTTAGTAAGCCTTTTAAAGAAGTTTATGCATAAAGAAAATCCATATAATAGTAAAACAATTTGAAAATTGTAGAAAAGTCAGAAGTAGACTTTGATTAATGTTGAGGTCTATAATTATTAGATCCAGTACCTAAATATAAGCTAGGAGTTATTATTAATGGGTTGAATTAGGAAATAAGTACCTGGATTTTCATCAGCACCGACAACTTGTACGTAGATCACTGGTACATTTACTTTCTCCTGTATATTGGTTCTTTGTCATTAGAATAAAATTTCATTATAATTCTTTTTCTGCCCCAAATAGCTTTTGCCTACCAAAAAGTTTTGGGAACCTGATGATTCAACAAAAGATGGACAAAAAGGCATATTTCTTGGGGATGATGAATGGAGAGAGACTGCATGGGGAACTTCTCGTAAGTCATTTTGGTGTATTTGTGAGAATTATGCATTCATTCAAAGTTCTTTTAAATAAACCATGCCTACCCCAGACAATATTGGGAGAAATTTGTTGAAGATTTCATAAATTGCTACGATACAGATTTTCTAATGTCCTTTAGCCCTTATTTGACAGTCCACTTATTGTCACATAAGTTTTGTTTCACATTAATTCTGCTTATAAAATTCTGAATTTCAATTGAAATAGAGAACAAATTAATTAAACCTAATTAATTTGGAGTCCTGGCGTGGCACTGTGAGTTAATGCATCAGACTGCAAAGTCATTTGAACTGTAAAGTCAGTGGTTCATGCTCACCAGCTGCTCCTTGGAAAACCTTTACATGGTCGCTATGGTTCGGAATCGACTTAATGACACTTAACAACAACAATTTTTGCTGTGGGATAATGCATTGGGCTGCAAGGTAGGTTTGAATCACAAGGTCGACAGTTCAAACCCACCAGCCATTCCTTGGAAACCCTAGACAGGGTCACTATGAATTGGAACTGATTCAACGGCACTTAATAACAACTTTATTAGACATTAATTATACTCAAAAAGAAAATAACTTCCTCAGTAAGTTAGAGTTCCATAAGACTCAAATCTAAAAAACGATTACGGCAAAATAATGCATGTATAAAATAGTTTGTAGAAGTGACTGTACTTTTTGGTTAAATTAAATAGCATAGTTATGTTTTTTAAATAGCTTGTCATTTTACTGATTATATGGTAAGAATTTCTTAACTTGTGACACTTTAAAGATATACAGTGATCATCACCATGCATTTTACAAATGGAGTCCCTAGGGTGTTATAAACAGTTAACATGTTGCAGGTTCACGTTAGAGGTTTCAGTCTACCTAGAGGCACCTCATAAGAAATATCTGATGATCTTCTGAAAAATTAGCTATTGAAGCCCTATAGAGCACAGTTCTACTTTGTGATAATTATCAAGTCCTGTCACCTGTCTGTCAGTTTGTTGTACTGTGGCACCATGAGTAGTGTTGTAATCTGTGTATTTGGTATTCAAATACCAACAAGATCACTCAAGCGAGACAGTTTTCAGCAGAGCTTCCAGACTAAATCAGACAAAAATAGCAATCTACTTAGAAATCTACTTAGAAAAATAAGTGAAAACCATATGAATCACAATGGAACCTTGTCTTAACTCACTAGATCTAGACATATCAGGAGAGAACCATAAATCACAGGAGGAAAAGGTTAAGTATCCGACCAACAAGGGCAACAAAGACTGTGGTGAGATGAATTGGCACAGTAGTCACAAGGGTGAACCTGTACATGTTAACCATTGTGAGGATGACATGAGAATACACATTATTGTGTTCTGCTGTACATAGGGTTGCCATGAGCTGGATTCTATTTTTGTTGTGTGCTGTTGAGCAGCTTCTCACTCAGTAAGCCATTATAGGGTTTCTGAGAGTGTAGCTGGTGGGTTTGAATTGTGGACCTAGAGGTTAACAATCTAATGCTTATACTACGGCACCACATCAGGGTTCTTACTAACTTTTTATTTTGAATATACATTGTCAGCTGTTGGTTTATTCCCTAGATCATTAAAATATATTGAAAAAGGCTAGAGCAGAGAGTGAAGCATCCAGCTGATTTGAAGTGAAGGGAGAGGCACAAGAACTCCCAACTTGTAGCTAGTACCCATTTGACCTATCCTCGATGGCTTGATAGTCAGAACTTGACTAGAACTTGACTAAAAACATTGTTTGATAAAGGAAACAAGTGTAATGTTTATAAAGAAAACGAGTGTACAGTTTGAACTTAACCTAAACTTATGAATGTAGTAGCTCAAAATTCCAACTGAGAGGGAAGGAATCATCACATCAAGTATCAGTCCTATCCCCTCTGTATACAAGGTTGATAGGGACAAGCAACTTAGATGTTGGTGCCTAAAATGAGGGGGCAATAAAGGCACGAAGTGACTGGCTTTTAAGAGTGTGGGGGCGAATGGTAGAGTTCCCACTGAATGTTTTTCATCTTATCTAGATGATTCTGATGAAAAAGATGGGATAAGATTCTTATGATTCGTTAGTAAGTAATTGTTATCATGACTAATTGTGACTATGACAATTGTAAAGGTAGATATTTTGTAGCAAAAATGGGGGACTAGTTAGTCTTATTGTCCAGGAACAGAGGACCCTAAGACCATCAAGGGAGAAGAGCATGAGCGGAATGCACGACCCTATCCAGAGAAGCAGCTACACCAGAGATGGAGGCAGAGATGAGAACATGGAGAAAGGGAGCAGCGGAGGACTCTGGACTCATGGAGAGAGAGGGACTGAATGATGGCAACCTCGAAGCAGGCTTGCAGAATGTGCCCTTTGGTTGTTTAAAGTATTATATATTTCTCTGTATATCTAATATGGATGTTGTTGTTGTTGTTGTTAAGTGCCGTCAAGTCGGTTCCAACCCAAAGCGACCCTGTACAGGGTTTCCAAGGGTATAAATCTTTATGGGAGTAGAAAGCCTCATCTTTCTCCCGCGGAGCGGCTGGTAGTTTCGAACCGCTGACCTTAAGGTTCACAACCCGATTCGTAACCACTACGCTACCAGAGCTCCTTTAATATGGATGTAGTAGCTCAAAATACCAACTGAGAGGGAAGGAATCTTAACATCAAGTATCAATCCTGTCCCCTCTGTATACAGAGTTGATAGGTACAGGTAACTTAGATATTGGCTGCCTAAAATGAGGGGGCAATAAAGGCACAAAGTGACTACAAGTTTTCAAGAGGGAATGTAAGAGTGTACTGGGGTAGGTAGTGTTTTTGAGTACATTCCTCCCCCCAGAGAAAAAAACAAGACCAAAAAAAAAAGAGGGAATGATGATGTGCGGAGGATATTGTAATCATTGCAATGAAACGATGATGTAATTGTTTTTCCATCACTCAATTCACAATAAAAACTTTTTAAGAAAGAAAAAAAATTTAAGTACATTTATAGTTCTAAGCTTGTTAAACTGAAGTAACTGCCACAAAACTAAAACCCCGAAAAGGTTAGGAAGCTTTAGCAAATTTTGGTGATTAGTACTTTTCTTACAGTCAAAATTGATTAAAACATTTGGTAACAGGTAACTTTGATTAAGTTTTCTTAAAGTGTTGGTAGTTTTCATTGAGTTCATTTAATAAATAATACCAGCAAGGGTGAGTCAAAAATTATTGGCATTCTTGTTTTAGAATTCATTGTAATCAATTTTCAGAGAAGACAAATACATCATTTTTTGACATAATCTCCTTGCTTTTTAATACACTTTGTCCATCTGTAAACAAGCGTTTGTAGTTCATTATTTAAAAAAAGTTACAGGCTGAGCTTCAAGCCACAAATGCACTGCTGTCTTGAAATCATCAGAGGTGAATCTTCATCTTTTAAGGGTTGCTTTCAGGGGACAAAATAAGTGAAAGTCTGATGGAGAAAAATCAGGACTGTAGGGAGGATGCTGTAACAATTCCAAACGAAGTTTTTGCAGAGTGTCAGAAAGTGTGGACAGCAGTTTTAATATAACTGAAGTACAAATAATTTTTGACTGTTGCTTATACCTAGAATTACGTGATTTTTGAAAGGCATTTACCTTTCCTGGAAACACATGAATATGGTAGAACATATTGCGGGAAAAATTATGAAAAATTCTTAGTGGATGGGCATTTTAATATAACCAGAGTACAGATAATTTTTGATTCATCCTCATACATATAGCAGATTTTAGAAACTGTAAAGGTAAATGAGATATGATCCTGGCCTTCAAGCATTTTGTTTCTGGGGGGGACTTAAATTAATCTATAAAAGTGGACTTTTAAATTGATTATTTGTGCTGGAATATATTTTAATCAGCCACCCCCACCACCACACACACACACAAAAGAAACATTCATTGCTAAAATGCACGTATGTTTGATAACCTGGTAGGTTGACATTTTAATTTCATTTCGAAGGTTGAATGGTTAATTATTTTATTTACCAGAACCAGATTTTTTAGGTATTGAAAAGCAAAACATCTTGACAACATGATTATGAAAGATTATTTTCAAAATGGATTTTGGGAAATATTTGTGCTGTGTCATATTTGGAGAACTATAGTACCAGCAGGAAAATTTTGAATCAATATGTTTATACCTTCCTGATACTTACATTTAACGTCAGATTTATAATTCTAGTCAATTTTTCAATGCAATCCCTTTCCTAACTTTTTAAGCTCCGGCAGATAAATTTTTAGATAAATAATTAGGTGGTTGTTTTTGTTTTGTCTGAAGAAACCTAAAAAAATAGGGTATCAATTGAGTTTTGTTCGTTGATCAGATATTTTGACTGCCAGGCTATACACACGTGTGAACAATACATTGTCCTAAAGGAATTGTCATTATGCAAGAGATGATTACATGATTACATTTTTCTACATTTGTATATGCTAGTTTCTCTAACTAAAATTCTGTTTTCACCAATTTTTGCTCACTTTAACCCTTCTGCCTTACTATTCAGCTTTAACATTACTTCCTGTGGGATTCATTCTAAGAGGGGGAAAGGATTAATGCCCCTTCTTTCTGGTCCCATAGGACCCTGGATTGTTTTATTAAAGCTCTTTTACTTTATTATGATTGCCTCTTATTAGACCTAAAATTATCTTTGAGGGTAGAGGCTATCTTAATTGTTGTTGGAGTCCTCCCTCACACAGCACAGTGCCAAGCATATAAAACCATTATTGAGTATTCTAACTTATGGTGGCCCTTACATGGCAGAGTAGGTACAGGTGTATTCCTCCATAGGATTTCCTTCCATAGCTGATTTTTTGCCAGGCCTTTTTTGTTTTGTTTTGTTTTTTTGAGGAGTTTCTGGGTGGACTTGACTGTCCAACCTTTCACCACTCAGTTATATACACCACCACGGCTGTTGAGTTGATTCTGACTCATAGTGACCCTGTAAGACAGAGTAGAACTGCCCCCATAGGATTCCCAAACTGTAAATCTTTACAGAATTAAACTGCCAAGACTTCATCCTGTTAGTTTAAGAATCGGAACTGACTCGATGGCACTTAACAATGATCATTGTCACCAGAAGAATTTTGATTATTTGTTGCCTGCAGGCAGGCAATTGAACTTTCAGGTTAGTGCTTCTATCTCCTTTGCTTGTTTCTTTATAGAGTTTTTCCTGTTTACTACTAAATGGCTCTTCCCATCTATATTTTCAAGAGATATGTCCAGACTATTGAGTTGTAAATAAATGAAAACCTTTTTATAATATTTAAAATAAAATAATGATTTTTCTTTACTTGGTATTTTAACTTGTGTAAAAACATTCTTAGTTTCAAAATATAATTGCATTTTTCTTCTATACAGACCATTCAGTGTCCCAGCCTATTACGGTACAGAGAAGAATTGGACAGGGTTTTCCTGGAAACAGTGAAGTAAATGCAATACTGTCTCCGCGATCTGAAAGTGGAGGCCTTGGCGTGAGCATGGTAGAATATGTATTAAGTTCCTCTCCTGCTGATAAATTGGATTCTCGGTTTAGGAAAGGAACTTTTGTAAGTATTTTGAGTAAAGTAATATTTGTTATTTGCTTGATTGTTATTAATTTTTTAAGTCTGTTTACTTTTGTTTCCCCTCACGTAGAACTAAAAGAAATTTTGGCGCTAATAATTCTTTAGTTTTCTTCACTTGACCACTTTTTGAATACATGAGATGATGGAACCATTAGGGATATTTACAATAACCGTATTTCAAAAATCAAATTATATTAATTTAGAAGCAGCATTTGCAGTATTAAAAATGCTTATTCATGGTAGTGGTTGATCAAAAAGTAAGCACAAGTCTGAAGTTCCGTAACATGTTCTACAAATTCGTCTGTGCATTAAATAGAATCTGATCAAATTTGTGGTGTTAACTGCTTTTCCAGCACCGCTATAGTTATGGTTGCCTTAGCCCTTCTGTTATAAATCACTGGCTTATACTCAATTTTTTGGCCTTTAATAAATCAGTTGACTATGAAATTAAAATAAGACTCATTGCTTTTATTGTGTACATGCACTACAGTGTAGTTTTTAGATCACCTTTTGGGACCTTTTTTGTGTTCTATTAAATACTCAGAATCAAACAGATGCTTTTTCCTCAGGGTACTAGAGATGCTGAAACAGATGGACCTGAGAAAGGAGATCAAAAAGGCAAGGCTTCTCCATTTGAGGAGGACCCAAACAGAGATCTTAAACAAGGAGATGATGATGATTCTAAAATAAATGGCAGAGGTTTGCCAAATGGAATGGATGCCGATTGCAAAGATTTTAAGTAAGATTTTCGCTTTCTCCAGATGAATATCTCTTTAGGGATTATTACTACTAGTTGATGTGACTGATTTAGACATTTTTCCAGTTTAGGTTTGTTTCCCTTTGTATTTTGTGTTAATCTGGACAAAGATTTTTTTTTTGGGGGGGGTAAGGGTATCTTTGATTTTTATTGGCAAGATGTTTTTGGGGTTGCTCTTGAGCACCTATTGAGTTTTCTTCTTTCTTCTATTTCTGTCTTCCCTACCCATTCATCCCCACCCCCATTTAACCTGTTAGCTTAGAAATGGGAAACAAAATTAGGAACCAGTGCCCTTTCATATGAATTTGTGATAAACTTGTTGTTCTCCTGAAATTAAGAAGTAGGGAACATACGTGCAGATTCAGAAAGGTAGCTATAAGCTTAGAATTCTTATTTGTAGCTCTTTAGCTGTCTCTTTCTGGCAGTTTAGTATTATAGATTCATTTTAACATTAGGCAGTACATATTTCTATAAGTATTACTTTATTCATACTGATAGGTGCTTTTGGAGCTTATGTCTGAAAATTAATTCTTTGAAATCTTGTGAACCATAGTCTCAGCATGGATATGTTTGGTGGTATACTGTTACATTTATTCCCTTTATTCATTAAAAGCAGAATAACAGTGCTTTATACAATACCATTTCTGTCTGTTTTAAATGCAAAAAAGCATCCAAAACCAGTAAACCTCTTTGACAAGAAAGAAATAAATTTAATGCTGTTCAATTTGTTTTAGAACCTTATCATGATTTTGTTCTTCTGTTATCTAAGTTTTCGTCAAGGACATGCATTTAAACATGAGTTTAACGAAAACCCCTCAGATTATCCATTTATAATTGAAGTGTTAATACACCGTTAACTATAGCAAGAAAATAGCACCACTAATAGCACAATTATTTGTTTTCTATTGCGCACTCTACTTTCTTGTGTACTAAGATTGCTTTGTGTTTAAAGGCTATACTTGCCCCGTTAAAATATTAACAACAAACTTTATATCTGTTCACATTTTAATTTTTCATTTACTTTTGTGTTTGTGTCTTACATTATTTGTGAATTCTTTTAGCTATAATGGTAGTTAGTACTTGACAGTGTATAAAGTTCTAAGAGAATAAATGACCATGTGGTCATTATGCCAGCACATCATTAATATGGGAGTCCTGGTGTGGTGTGCTGTAGTTTAATGCGCTGGACAGCAATGTTGGTTTGGACCTCAAGGCCAGCGGTTCAAGCCCACTAGCTGCTCTTCAGAAACCCTATACAGGGGTCACTATGGGTCAGAATCACCTCAAACAATCATGAGCATGTACATTAACTGATCATCAATATATACATTCTTAAGAGCGGAATTGGAATGAAAGAAAAATATAAGGCTCATTTCTCTTTTTAAAAAAAGATCCTTCCCGTTTAGGTTTTCTTCCTATATAGTCTGAATGAAAACTGAACATTTGGAATGCTCACATAGAAAACTAAAGTATGATTGAAGTGGAAGGGAGTTGATAATTTCATTTAATGTTTTCAAGGACTGACAAATTTTTAAGTAAAATGTGTATTAAATGTCTAGAATGCTTTGTAAAATACTTCGTACATGTTAGCAAGTTTATCCTAATGTTGTAAGGCACTTGATGTTGGAGACAGACCACCTTTATATGTAGCAACTGTATTAAAAACCAGGTAAAGCAAAGTTATGATATTAATTAATGTACTCATGTTTAAATGTATTATGGACACTTATTTGAATATATTATTGACACCTGGTTCGTAAGCTCAATAAACTTCTTTCTGGTCAGGGAATAGATTCTATATGAAATATTTCCATAGATGAAAAATGGATCAGTTCTACCTTGTAATAAGGTAAAAATATAGTTTAGACCATGAAAGGTTTTAATAAAAAGACAAAAGCTAACACTTAAATTTCAGTCCACTGTTACTGAATTTCTTGGAATAAATGAATGAGGTCCTTAAAATGGTGATGGAAGTTTCTGTTTGTTATTTGAAACTATAGTGTTATCTCTTCAGCATCCTTCTAAGGAAACAAGAGTCTTAAAGAAGATGAAATGTATTCAAAATCATACTTTTTTAAAAGATAGAGCCAGATGATGAACATAAAAATGTCACTGAACTGTATATTGAAGATTGTTGAAATTGTAAATGTTCGTTAGTTATCTATTTAACAAACATACACAAAGAGTCAGGAGACTGCTTTTTGTCTTAGTGCTTTGCATTTTTGTTGTTGTATCACTCATCTCTTACCCTAGTGAAAAACCACAGTGATCTCTTGTGGTCAATATTTTCTTAACTACAATTAAGCAAGGCCCAGGTGTGGCGCTGTAGTGTAAGCACTAGATTGGCAACCGCAAGGTCGGCACTTCAAACCCACCAGACAGGGTTGCTGTGAGTTGGACGCAACTGGATGGCACACAGCAAAAACTATTAAGCAAGATGTTATAGCAAAATAGTTGATAGACTTATGTGCAGCACAGGAGTGTTGTGGTAGGTTTGGGTTTGTGCCTTTGCATATTTGTCACCTGGTAATTCTGCTTTTAATTCATATTATCTCTGATTTTAGACAAAGGTTTTAAGTAGTGTAAGATTATTATGATAATTGGCCAGTTTTATTGTCTCTAAAATTGAGTTACATAATTTTTATATTATTCAAAGTGGGTAGAGACTTTTTTTATACACTTGTCCATGTTACCTCTTAATAGGCAATTATATAAAATAGGGAAAAAAATGATAAAATGGAATGATTAGTGACCTACGGTACCATTTGCTATAAGAAAATTTACCCTGTGTTTTTCATGATTTTCTGCTTCCTCACTTCACCTTTTTATTTTTTTACTTTTATTTGTAACTTTTTCTGTTTTCCTTATGTAGTCGTACTCCTGGAAGTCGTCAAGCCTCTCCAACTGAAGTAGTTGAGCGCCTAGGCCCCAATACTAATCCCCCAGAAGGATTGGGACCTCTTCCTAATCCTACAGTCAATAAACCACTTGTTGAAGAATTTTCAAATCCTGAAACTCAGAATCTGGATGCCATGGAACAAGTTGGTCTGGATTCCTTACAGTTTGACTATCCTGGTAATCAAGTACCAATGGACTCTTCAGGAGCTACTGTAGGCCTTTTTGACTACAGTTCCCAGCAGCAGGTAAAACATAACACTTTCTTAAGAAGTTCATTTAAAGTATATACTTAATGTTTTGTTGAAAAAAATTGTTGAATAATGTTTATATTTGAAAAATGATTCAAATAAGTGGTTATTCCTAGCTTTCTAATTAAAAATGAAATATTTTGAGACTAATCTTGATATTAAATATTTTCCCTAATAGCTCTTTCAGAGGACTAATGCACTAACAGTTCAGCAGTTAACTGCAGCCCAGCAGCAGCAGTATGCATTGGCTGCAGCTCAGCAGCCACATATAGGTGAGTCTATAAGTTACCATTTTGACTATTAGAAAACCATATGCTAAAGTGTTTTAAATATCTGTATTAATTGGTGATACTCATTACTTTTGAAACATCTCATTGAGATCACAGAGTAATAGACCGCATGACAAAAATAACGATTAAATAGAGAATTTTTTCTGTTATATATCATTAAATAAAAATGTAATTTGATAACGATTACTCTTAGAAATATGAATTTAACACAGAGTGAATTGCTTGGAAATCCAAATGCATAGTTATTTGTGTCCGTTATCAAGTTTATAATGTGCATTATAAAAATTATTTGAAAATAAGAATCCCAACACAGGTTTTTAATATTTCTTCATTAAGTTTTGTGGTCTCTGCCCTTTATTTAGTCTTTACTGTTTTGTGGATTAACCACATAGTATCAATAAAATTTTTAGGTGGTAGTTATGGTTGTTTGAGTTTTTCTTTTTCTTTTTGTCTTTTCCTTTTCTTAATCAAGTACAAATCTTAATTGTTTATTAATAGAGATAATCTCTAGCTTCCATTTTATTAGTTTTAGTTTTATTCAAACCCCTCAACTAATTATGATTCGACCCCTTTCCTATAAAAGGATGTGAAGTGAAATAAGTTGATAAGGTTTTTCTGTTTTGTTTTTTACTTTGAAATAAATTTTAACTACAATTCCTGGTAGCAGGCAAAAGCATACACATGAGGTTGAAACAGTGGTACAGAGGTATAGCCTTTGTCCAGTTTCCTGCTGTGATTACATCTTGTATCGTCATAGTATCAAAACCAGGAATATGGAATTGATACAAAGTGTGTGTGTGTAGCATTCTGTTATTTTATTACCTTTTGTATATTTGTGTAACCATTTCTATGTACATCTGACCCACTCCTTCTGAATACCCACATCACTTTCGACACTATATTATAATTTCCAATGTATTTGTTTATTTTTCTTGATAGAGTGCTTTTTAAGGACAGATAACTTCTATTTTAAATGTTGAATTCTTAACTCATAGTATAATTTAAGAACGATTGTGAAGCTAATTTTAAATGTAGAATTGTTTCTTATTCCTGAATTCTGAAGGATGCCATAGTATATTTTCAGGGCTTAAGTAAAGTACTTTAGTAGGGGACAAGGATTAACGTTTATTTCTACCTGTTATGTGCTGGCACTATATTTCATAATTAGCATCACATTTAATTCTCAAAAAAACACACCAGTGGGTGATAAATCTATTTCATAAAGAAAAACCTCAGCGTCAGGGTCACACAGTCAGGATTGATACCATTATGCACATTCCCCCCACCTTACTCCCAATTTGTGCCTCCAAATTCAGAGTAGAGCCATTTGTATCTAGTGAAGAAGACTATATGGTATTTATTCATTATTTCTCCCCCCTTTATAAACAGCAGGTGTATTTTCAGCCGGCCTTGCTCCAGCTGCGTTTGTGCCAAATCCATACATTATTAGTGCTGCACCTCCAGGAACTGATCCATATACTGCAGCAGGTTTGGCTGCAGCAGCAACATTAGCAGGTGATTTACTTGTTACTTCTTATATGTTATGGATTTAGTTTGAAATTTGCTATAAACTTGATTTGTCTATTTGGGCAATTTGTAGATTCTAAGAACAGTTTAAAGCGTTTATTCAAAATGAACTGGTTTCCAGGTGTTGGTTTATTTTTCAGTGTAATGCTACAGGACGAAGTCTAAGCAAATAACTTTTTCTTATATACATAATTGGTTTACTTTCATGTTTGTAGTTTGGAGCTTTTACACTGTCAACCACAAATTTCTCTTATTGTGACCAAAAAAGTTTATTCAAAGGGGCAACTCAAAGTTACTTTACAAAAAATAAATTGGAGGCTGCTATTGATGTCGAGTTGGTTCCGACCCACAGAGACCCTGTATAGAGTTCCCAAGGAGCAGCTGGTGAGCTTGAACTACCCACCATGTGGTTCAAACCGACTTTGCTGTCCAGCGCATTAACCCACAGCGCTACACTAGGACTTCAAAATTAGAGGTAGATGGTGTGAATGTTTGTATCAGGGATAAGTGTCTAAAGATGAACTGCTTTGGCAATCTTAAAAAAATGATTACTTTAAGAATAAAATATATTTAGCAATATTACAGGGTGCAAGAAAGCTAGGGAACAAAATGAGTGTACTTGAAAAGAACCCATCAAAGGATGAGACCATTACCCAAAATCTGATGTTTAAAAAAATACTGAATTTATTTTTATTTACTTAAGCGAGAGTAGTGCTGATCAAAACAATTTTCTGACCTTAGAAAGGGGTTCCCCGGTAAAGGATGAGGCTGTCTGCTCGTGTATCAATTTATAGCCTTGGAAACCCTAGGAAGCAGTTCTCTTTGTTCTGTAGGGTCCCTATGAGTCAGAATCAACTTCCTGCCAGTGAGGTTTTTTTTTGTTTTTGTTTTTAATGTAGGTATTTGTGAAGAGTTTGTTGTAGGTTGAGTTGGTTACAGAGTCAGGAATGAGTTTGATGTGTTCACTAGAGTGGCTGACTTACAAATCTTGAGGCTTTCTTTTTTTTGCTTTCAGAGAGAAGGTTGCAAAAGTGAATTCTCAAATGTTGAATAAGTTTAGTTCTGGTATTTATTTTCAGTACTTTTAAACAGTCCTGGTGTGTGTGGTGCTGTAGAATCACCACTAGACTGCCAACTATAATACAAGATCAGCAGTTCAGACCCACCTAAACAGGGTCATATGTGTCAGAGTCGACTTGATGGCACTTAACAACAACAATTAAACAGTCAATGTTTTCCTAGGAATGCAGTGATCTTTTTTGTTCTGATAGTCCATACTTCGTGAAAAGTGGGAAAACAGTGTTGCTTTTAAATTCTTGTTTGATTTCTTATCTAGCTGACTGGAAGTTCCGCAACACTTTCAGTAGTTGTGGATGTAGATCTGTGTAATTCCATAGGATATAAATTTTCCTGGTGCCATTTGGATGTTAGTATATAAAGTGCTTGTATTTTATATATATGTGGATACTCATTAGCCAATGGCACTCATTAAAGAAGCTTTTAAGAAGTCATTTTGATTTGGGATAAACTTTCTAGGCATTCTGAATTTAATCTACAAGCAAATACTGTCCAGTAAAAATGTGAGCCACATAAGTAATTTTTAATTGCTTAGTGGATAACTAATAAAAGTTTTCTTAAAAACCAGATGGAATCAATTTCAGTAATATATTTGATTTAACCCATCATATCAAGTAAAAGATCTGAATAGAAAATTTCAGAGGTCAGCCTCAGAAAACAAAAGTCAAATATTATAGCAGAATTTACAAAGATCTGGAGTTAGGAAACCAAAAGGGAAGAACACACCGAGTTTTTCTCAAACTGAGGAAACTGAAGAAAAAAAATTCAAGCCTCGACTTGCAATATTTGAAGGATTCTATGGGGAAAATATTGATGCAGAAAGCATCAAAATAAAATGGAAGGGATTACACAGAGTCACTGTACCGAAAAGAAATGGTCAGTGTTCAACAATTTCGAGAAATAGCCTATGATCAAGAGCCAGTGATGCTGAAGGAAGGAAGTCCAAGGAGCATTGAAGGAATTGTTAAAGAACCAGGCTCTGGGAATTGATGGAATACAAATTGAAGTCTTTCAACACATTGATGCAGCACTGGAGGCATTTGCATCTATGCCAAGAAATTTGGAAGGCTGCTACTTGAACAACTGAATACGAAATACCCATATGTGTACCCATTTCAAAGAGAGGTGACATAGCAGAACACAGAAATCCTTGGAGAATATCTTTAATATCACATGCAATTAAAATTTTACACAAGATAATTGAAAACTAGTTAACAACAGTACATTGACAGAATTGCCAGAGGTTCAAGTCAGATTCATACGAGAACAAGGGATATCATTGCTGATGTCAGGTGGATCTTGGCTGAAAGAGAATATCAAAAAGATGTTTACCTGTGCTTTGACTACGCAAAGGCTTTCGATTGTGTGAATCATGACAAGCTACAGACAACATTGCAGAGAATGAGCATCCCAGAACACTTAATTGTGCTCGTGAGGCCCCTGTACATAGACCAAGTGGCAGTTATTCAAACAATAAGGAAACACTGAATGGTTTAAAATTAGGAAAGATGTGCCCCTTTCCTAATTTTGAACCAAAGGATTGTATTCTTTCACCAGATTTACTTAATCTATATGCTGGGCACATAATCTGAGAAGCTGGATTATATGAAGAAGAACATGGAGTCAGGATTGGGAGACTAACAACCTGTGATATACAGATGATAGAGTTTTGCTTGTGAAAGTAAAGTGGTCTTAAAATACTTAACTCATGAAAATCAAAGACCACAGCCTTCAGTGTGGGTTGCACGTCAATGTAAAGAAAACAAAATTCTTCACCACTGGATCAGTAAATAACATCATGATCAAATGTAGAAAAGATTAAAGTTGTCATCGACTTCATTTTGCTTGGATTAACCATTGACACTCATGATGCCACAGTCAAGAAATCAAACAGCATATTGGCGTTAGGCGAATCTGTGCCACAGACCTCTTTAAAGTGTTCAAGAGCAAAGATGGCAGTTTGAGGACTAAAGATATACCTGTCTTAAGTCATGATATTTTTATTAACCTCATATGCATGTAAAAGTTGATAAGGAAGACCATAGAAGAATTGATGCACTTGATTTATGGTGTTGAGGACAAATATTAAAAGTACCATGGACTGCCATAAGAACAAACAAATCTGTGTTGGAAAAAATACAGCTAGAATGCTGCTTAGAAGCCAGGATGATCAGACTTTGTCTCTCATACTTTGAACATATTATCATGAGAGACCAGTCCTTGGAGGACATCATGCTTGGTAAAGTGAAGGGTCAGCAAAAAAAGAGAAAGGCCTCCAACTTGATGGATTGGCACAGTGGCAGCATAAATGGTCTGGAGCATAGTAATAATTGTGAGGATCACACATGACCAGGTAGTGTTTAATTCTGTTGTGCATGGTATCGCTGTAAGTCGGTACCAACTAGATGGCACCTAACAGCAGCAACAACAACAATAAAAAATACTTTAATGTCTACATATAATCAGAATTTTTTTAATGGTGGTGGTTGTTAGGGGCTTTAGAGTCCATTCCAACTCACAGCGATCCTGTATATGAGCTACTGGTGAGTTTGAACTGTCGACCTTGTGGCTCATACCTACATTATGGTCAGTGGCACACCTGAACTCCTTTATGAAATTATTATTTTAATTTAATTTTTCATATGAAATCTTCCAATTTTGGTGTGTATTGTATGCTTAGAACACATCTCAGTTCAGGTTTACCTGCATTTTAATTGTCTAGTAGTCACATGTGACTCCTGACTACTGTATTACAAAAGTACTATTATAGGTTGATGACAGTCTTTGTTTATCTTTGTCATGCATACTTCCTTCCTAAACCCTTTGGAGTATATTAGTAGATATCACTGTTAGGTTTACTTAGGTCTTTACTAGTATAATTTTCTTACCTTTTAGTTTTCCAAGTTTTTTTAGAATGGTAATTCACTTAGTTGTGCTGGACTTTGTTTTCTTTCAAAACTAAGTGTGGAGAAACTAAGATTTTGATTATTCTGAAATATATACCCACCACTTGTCTGACTGACAGTTTGTGGTGGCTTGTATGATGCTCTAATGCTGGAAGCTTTGCCATCCATGGTGGAAGGCTTTATTTACCTGAGCTTCTAGACTAAGACACACTGTGAAGAAGAAGAGCCATTGAAAATCCTATGAATAACAGTAGACAGCAGTCACATAGCACCATAATATTGAATGTTGAAACATGATGAATAGCATTAGAATATTGTCAGATGCCAGAAGATGAAACCCTCAGATTGGAATGTGTTCAAAATACATTATTACATGCTCAGTATTTCTGAAGCAGAAAGAGTTGAAGAAAAAATTCAAGTCTCTACTTGTAATACTGAAGAATTCTGTGGACAGAATATCAAATGATGCAGAAAGCATCAAAAAAAGATGGAAGGAATGCACAGTCCAAAAAAATTGACAGCGTGCTACCATTTCAAAAGAAATATCTTGTGTTTAAGAGCCAATCGTACTGAAGAATGAAAATGAATTCTAGGGTGTACTTATGTCATTGGCAAAGTACAAGGCTCTCGGAATTGACGGAATGCAAATTGAAATTTTTCAAGAAACTGAAGAGGAGCTCTGGTAGCATAGTGGTTACTGGTTAGGCTACTAACCTCAAGGTCAGCAGTTCGAAACTACCAGCTCTATTCCATGGAAGAAAGATGAGGCTTTCTGCTCCCGTAAAGATTTACAGCCTAGGAAACCCTGTTCAGGGTCGCTATGAGTCAGAACTGACTCCACAGCACATAACCACCACCACCACCAATAAACTGAAGACACTCTCCATTTTATGCTAAGAAATTTGGACGACAGCTACCTGCCTATCTGATTGGAAAAGATCCATATATATGCCCATTTCAAAGAGAATCCAGGAAACATCGAGCACAGTGTCATTAATTCGCATGCAAGTAAAATTTTGTAAAATGCCTATAACAGTACATCAACACTGAATTGCCAGAGGTTGAAGCCAGATTGAGACGTGACGAGGAAAGAGGGTTATCATTGCTCATATCAGATGAATCTTGGCTGAAAGTAAAGAATACCAGAAATGTGTTTACTTGTGTTTTATTGATTATGCAGAGACTTTCGAGTATGTGTTATTATTACAAACTTTGGACTGCATTGCAGAGAATGAGTATCTTGGAACACAATTGTGCTCATGTGGAACCTACGTATAGGCCCAAAAGTAGTTGTTTGAACAGAACAAGGGAACACTGGTTTAAAATCAGAAAGAGTATGCACCTGGGTTGTATTCTTTTATCATATTTATTCAGTCTGTGTGCTGTGCAAATAATATAAGCTGAATTACTAGAAGAAGAACATGCCATGATATTTGGAGGAAGACTTATCATTAACAACCTGCGATATGCAGATACAACTGTACTGTTTGAAAGCGAAGAGGACTTAAACTGCTTTTTGATGAGTGTCAGAGACCACAGCCATCAGTATGGGTTACACTTTAGTGTAAAGAAACCAAAAACCCTTAACACTGGACCAGTAAATAACCACTATTCATGACTGAAGTTGTCGTTAAGTCTCCATTTTGCTTGGATCCACTATCAGCAGTCAGTGGAATCAGCCATTAAGAAAGCAGACGTTTATTGCATTAGGCAAATCTGCACAAGACCTCTCTAAGTACTCAAGAGCAAGGATGCCAATTTTAGGACTAAGGTTTGCTTGACCCAAGCTATGGTACATTCTGTAGCTTCACATTCGTGTGAAAGTTGGACAATGAATAAAGAAGACAGTAGAAGAATTTATGTATTTCAGTTACCATGTTGGAGAGGAATATTAAAAGTACAATGCACTACCAGAAGTACAAACAAATCTATGTTCAAAGAATGCTTCTTAGATATCAGGATGGCCAGGCTTCATCTGTCATACTTTGGACATGTTCTCAGGAATGGACCAGTCCCGGGAGAGGGATATCACACTAGACAAAGTTGGAGGGTCAGCTAAAAGCAGGAAGGCCCCCCAATGAGATCGATTGTCACAATGGCAGCAACAATGGGATCAAGCTTAAGAATTGTGAGGAGGGCACAGGACAAGACAAGGCAATGTTTCGTTGTCTTGTTCAAAAAGATGGCTCCTAACAACAATAAAAGATTCATGTTATTTGAAAATTGAACCTCAGTTTTGTTCCAAACCTGATGGGTGACCAAAGACCATAATGTCAGGGATTCCACCATTCTCTGTGTGACCAGTCATCGTGATCTTTATGATTTTTAGTTTTCTTCCAGGTTTTTCGCCCACATCTGGAACTAAACTCACCCCTGTGATACCATTTTAGCCAAACATTAGATAGTTCTATCAGGGTAACGGAGTCCTGGTGTGGTGCTGTGGGTTAATGCACCAGACTGCAAAGCCGTTTGAACCTCAAGGTTGGTGGTACAAGTTCACCAGCTGCTCCTCAGAAATCCTACACAGAGTTGCTGTGGGTCGGAACCGACTCCACGGCACATAACAACAGCAACAACAGATAAGGATAACAGGAGTCTTGGAGTGGCACTGTGGGGTGATGCACTGGACCATAAGATTGTTTGAACTGCAAAGTTCAAACTTAATTTTTAGTTCAGATTCACCAGCTGTTCCTTGGAAATTGTTCACCAGGTCACTATGAGTCAGAACTGACTCCAAGGCACTTAACATTATAAGGGGAACCAATAGCATTAGTGAGATACACAGCTTAAAATAATCAACAATTTGAGATGAAAATGGCAGCACTTCCCCAAGGACAAAAGGTTAGTAAAAGTTAGGAAAGAAGAGTAATGGAAATGGGAAACATTGGAGGAAGTGGAATAAATTGTTACTTTGAGGGGATTATACTCAATGAGATGAAAAAAATGTGTTATTGAATAGAAAACTGATCTGATCTGTAAGCCTTCACCCAATTCATAATAAAAAGTTAATAATATACTGATAATAAATTTATGCTAAAATCCTGTTAGTGGAATTTTAGAAATATGTTCATTAAATATAAAGCTGTCTGCTCTCGTAAGGATTGAAAGTCTTGGAAACTGAATGCAGGGTTGCTCTAGGTTGGAGTTGACTTAAAAACAGTGGGTTTGGATTTAGGATTTGTTATGTCAGCATTCAAGATGTCTGATCTATTAATGATTGTTGTTGTTGTTTAGTATCATTGAGTCGGTTCTGATTCTTAGCAACTTTGTATACAGTTCTAAGGAGCCAATGGTGGGTTTGAACCACCTACCTTATGGTTCAAACTGGCCTTGTAGTCCAGTGCTTTATCCTGCAGTGCTACAACAGAACTTGAGTTTAATAGTTAAGACTTATTATATACAGTGGAGTCTTGGTGTGGTGCCTTGGGTTAATGCGCTGGACTGCAAAGTCGGTTTGCAGTCAGTCTCACCACCTGCACCTTGGAAACCCTGCACAGAGTTGCCGTGGGTCGGAATCTGCTCAAAGACACAAAACAGCAACATTATATTTAATAACTATTTTTTTCACTAGGAATCAAATACCTTGAGTAATGTAATCAGGAGCAGTTCTTTTTGTTTTCCTAGTTTGCTTAATTGTCTCTGTTTTCTTCTATTCATACATTATCTCATTTTCTTACCTGGACTCACTAATCCCGTTTTCTCAACACAAAGCCTGGTATCATGTTTAAATGTACTTTTCAGTTACTTTTTGAGATCTTGTGACTAATTCTATTTCATATGTGAAGTCAAATTTTAAACTAATGGTTTGCAATGCAGATACCATTGTAAGATTGGTTGCAGATTTTCCATAGTTTTGTGGTATAGATTTGGAAAGTTAGTAGAAACATTTTGTTTATTCTTTTCAGTGGTCAGGAACCGCTCTTATTTTTAGAGAAATGATGGATTGAACGTAGGAAATCTTATAAATTTACAGTGTCCAATGTTTCTTGAATATATGACTGTTTATTGGTTACAGATCCATAAATTGACATGTATTAAAAGTTGAACTGATTAACTGACCTTGCAGTTAATTGTGTTTAAGCTTCCCATATGTTCTTGAAGGCCACAGTTGTTGCTTAACACCTTGTAACTTTTAATAATAGTTGAATGATACTCTCTTCCTATAGAGGGTCTATAGTAAGTATAAATGGGTAGATGATTTTATGACTATCTTCCTTTAGCCATAGGCACTGTCCATTTTTATAATCTAATGGTAACTGACATCTTATGTCTATAACACTTACTGACTTTCTCTTTGCTTTTTTTATTGGGTGGTTGAATTTAGGTCCAGCAGTAGTTCCACCTCAGTATTATGGTGTTCCATGGGGGGTGTATCCAGCCAATTTATTTCAGCAACAAGCTGCAGCAGTAGCAAACAACACAGCAAATCAGCAAGCAGCAGCATCACAAGCCCAGCCTGGCCAGCAACAGGTATACTCCTTCCTTCTGTAAATAATATTTGAACATTGATTCTTTGAAATTTTATAAGTTCATGGTATTTATCTTTTGGTTCCTTGATGTGTAGTACACTATCTGACTTTTATAGTTGGGCCAAAATGTTTACTGCATTTTTTAAGCATCGGTATTAAATGAATTTCACACATTGGGTTATAGTCCATGTGTCTATTTCTGATTGCTCGCTTGAAATCTTTAGAAAATTTGAATATTTTCCCATCACTTAAAGTTGCATTTGTGGACCTCCCTCAAAATTTCGCTCACTTTTATAAAAGTATCTTGGTAAAGAATAAGAACATTATTACGATATATTGAACTGTTACTGTCAATCAAGTTTATTCAATTTTATACTGATGAGTGAGTATGGTGTTATTGGCAATGAGTTTAAGTTTAAACTGACTTAATATTACATTAGGAGTCCTGATGTAGCGCTGTGGGTTAATGCACCAGACTGCAAAGTTGTTTGAACCAGAAGGTCGGCGATTCAATCTCACAAGTCCCTGCTCGGAAACCCTACACAGGGTTGCTATGGGTCAGAACCGAATTGATGGCACTTCACAACAACAATACTGTATTGATGCTTGATTAATATTCTCTTTTATCTAAGTCCTAGGACATTATGACAATATTGTTTAGTAAAATTTTTTAAACCTTTTTGAGCAAAGATGAAAAAAAAAAACACTTCCTTAATAAACAAATAGGAGCCCTAGTGGCACAGCATGTTAAGCATTGGAAGGTCAACTGCTACCCGGAAGGTCAACAGTTCAAGCTCACCAGTCACTCTACAGGAGAAATATGAGGCTGTCTTCTCTCATAAAGACTAGTTATTGTTAGGTACCATTGAGTCAATTCAGACTCATAGTGAGTAGCCTTATGCACAATAGAACAAAACACTGCCTGGTCCTGTGCCATCCTCTTAGAGTGTTCTAATTATTAAGAGAGGTCTTGGTATGGTACTGTAGGATAAACACTGGACTGCTAACCACAAGTTTTGCAGTTCAAGCGTACCAGCCACTCCTCAACCGTATATAAAGTTGCTATGAGTCTGAACCAGTCCAGTGGCACTTAACAAGTAAGTTATTAACAGCCAGTGAAATATCCATTGTGTTTTTGGTGTTAATGTGTTTTATAATTTTTAATGCCAAAAGTCCTTTCATTGAATGCAGATATATTTAAGGAATATTCAAAAGCTAATCTTGTTGGTAATAAGTAAAAAATTGTCAAAGATACATTTCTTTTTCTGTTGTTTTATAATTTTATTTATACTGGGAAAATATCATTTGTCCTTTGTAGGTTCTCCGTGCTGGAGCAAGTCAGCGCCCTATTACTCCCAATCAGGGTCAGCAAGGGCAGCAAGCAGAATCACTTGCAGCAGCTGCGGCAGCAAATCCAACTTTGGCTTTTGGTCAGGGTCTTGCTACTGGAATGCCAGGTACATAGCTGGTTACCTAAAGAAATGTGAATTATTTTTAAATGTTAATTCAAGGTTTTTATACCAAAGAGTGTGAAGTAAATTATGAGCTGTCTTTAAAATCTTGTCTACTTAAAACAATTTTTAGAACTCAGATGCTAATAGTTGAAGTCATATCTAAATGCGTGAGATTCATTGACAGGAAAATATGGTGCAGACATTAGAATCCTCGGATGCAACCAGTTTTTCTTATTCTGCTTATGTCATAAATCATAGCATCATTCCAGCTTTATCCAAAAATTTCAACATAGTTCTTCAGGAAATATAAACCAGTTGGTTAGAGCTTAGCCTGCAAGACAACACCTATTTACCATTTTTGTCTTTTTAAGAATAGTTAATTCTGAGAAGTTTGTAGCTATTTTTTTTTTCTTGTTTAGTCCATTTGTAGTATTTTACACTTAGTATTTATAACAGTAGCAACAGTATCTTTAAAATTCTATGAAAGCCTACCATATAACAACTATACTATGAGATTTTTGCCATTACTGTTTAAAAATTATTAGAAATAAGAATCCACAGGGATTGTAAAAATAGAGACACTGCTACTACTTTAACAGTAATTATGGAAGAAGGAAGAGGATTTTTGTAAGGCAAAAAAAAACGCTTCTCTTTTTAATTTTGACTTAAGTGAAGACTCACAAAGCAGATTATGGCTTTACATTTAAAAACATTATTTGTATTGCTTCAATTCAATGATTGCAGTCCCCTCCATGTAACAACAGTATTTCCCTCTGTTCACTTAAATTATTGCAAGGTATCTCCTGTTACCTTGATCTTTCCTTTGCTAACATCTCTCTGTTGTATGTTGTAACCTCCCTTTGTTGTTTGTTGTATATTGCATGCTGTGTCAACCATGTTAATATGCATGTACCTTCCATCCCGTAAATAATTTTTGCTCGCCTCCCCCCATAACCATCATAGATTTTAAAATTTATTATCAAGAAAACATTTTCTTACCTTTTTACATTGGTCTCATATAATGTTTGTCCGTTTGTGATTAGAGTCCTGGTGTGGCGCTGTAGGTTAATGCACTGGACTGCAAAATCAGTTTAAACTGCAAGGTCCACGGTTCAAGCTCACCAGCTGCTTTTAGGAATTCCTATAAAGGGTTACTGTGGGTCAGAACCAACTGTATGGCACTTAACAACAACAACAATTTTACTCAGCATAATGTCCTCTAAGTTCATCCCCATTAAGAGTGGTTTCATAGATTGTTTATTGTTCTTCAGTATTGTGTAGTATTTCATTTTCTCTTCCTGTTCTGGAATTCCAGTTATCCATAAGTTGTTTACCCCTTCTTTTGCTGATGGGCATTTAAGCTGTCTCCATCTTTTTGATGTGTCTCCTGTTTTCTTATCCATTTAATTCTGCTCTCTTTTCTTGACTAGTGCATTTAAACCATTTACATTCAGTGTAATTCTCAATAGATATTAATTGATTGTTTTCATTTTGATGTGTGTTTACTTGTTTCTTTGTTCCACATAATTTCCTATGCTGAGTTCATTTAGTTTGTGGGTTTTCTTTTCATTTTCATTATTGTTGTGCTAACATTTACTAAATTTTTCTGTTTTTTAATTGTTATTTTGATGTGCAGGTGTATTAATTTTCTTTGAGGTATCCCTGTGATTTATTAATTTTCCCCTCTTTTTAATACTGTGTAATTTTGAGATCTGCATGGCTTCCTTGCCATTTGGAAACTCTGTATTTTAAACTGTTCCATTTTTTTGGTTTGTAGTTGACTTCATTATAAATTGATGTCTTTGATTCCCTATTTTCAGTCTTACAGGTTTGTTTTAGTTTAAATAATTCTACACTTGGCTTGAGTTCTGGGTGAGTAATCTTCATGTGTTGTTTGCTGTTGTTGGTTCTCAGTACAGAGAACACCTTTTAATATTCTTTGTAATATTGGTCTGGTCATTAAAAATTGCTTAAATTTCTGTTTATCAGGAAATGCCCTAATTTTATTACTGTATTTAAGGACAGATTCGCTGGACATATAATTCTTGGCTGGCCATTTTTCTCTTTCAGAGCTTTGTATATGTCATCCCATTGCCTTTTTGCATGCTTAATTTCTGCTGAGAAACAGGAGCTTAATCTTATTGGTTCTCCTTTGTAGTCCCTGAGTTTCTGCCAGGATTCTTTGCTTGTTTTTGGTTTTGGGAAATTTGATCCTGTTTGGGGTTCGTTCAGCATCATTTATACTTAGCCTCTTACCTTTCTTCCATCAACTCTTCTATAATTTTCTCTGTGCTTTTCATTTTCTCTTCCTGATCTGGAATTCCAGTTATCCATAAGTTATTCGTCTTCATGGTCTCCCATATAGATCTTAGACTTTCTAAAGATTTTTCATTATTTTTTCTGATTGTTTTTCTATGATACTAGTATGGAGAGATTTATCTTTAAGGTTACTAATTCTGGTTTCCATTGTTTCAGTTCACTCCTTTGCCATACAATGTATTGTCTACTTATGAAAAAATCTTAGGGTTAATCTTCTGGATTTCTAATTGCAGGTTTTGTATTGTTTCGCAATTTGCATTTATTTTGTCAGTTTGTACTTGTATTGTTTTCCTGACTTCTAATTTTTAAAAATTTTGTGTTCTACTTGCTTTCCTTGTATATTTCTGCCAGCCCTTTGAAGGTACCTAAATCATCCCATTCTTCTGAATTCTTTTTCAGTTAGTTTCATAGCATTTTCTTCCTTACAAACGTTTTCTGGCTCTGCATCCTGATTATTTGTGTAAGTCATTTGCTCTTGTTTTTTTGAACTAAAATTGTCTGTTGTCTCCAGGGAATTGTGGTGTTGTCATATTTGAATTTAATTGTGTTGATTTGTTCTTAGGCTGTCACCAACTGACTGTCTTTTGTGGGTATATTTCGAGAATGGGAGCATGTACTCCTTTTTCATTTGTCATATGTGCCCTTCAGTTTAGGATAGGTTTACTCTGTATTGGTGTTGGCTGCTTTCTATTGTTGATGAGGTAGTATAGGAGCTGGTATTGTCCTTTGTTCAGTTTGGGTGTATGGACACAATTGCTGTCTCCTATAAGGTAGGAAAGAGGAGAAACCCTCCCTCTCACAAACAAGAAAACAAAACAGAATGAACAAGTAACCAACAATGAAAAGAAAAAATAATTAAGAGAAAAAAGAAAAATGGGCAGCAACCAGAATAGAAGGATGTAATAACTACAAAGACATTTGAGTGACAAGGAAATGGAGCTATAGAAGCGAATAATAAGAGAAAAACAAAAGGAAGAAATTTAAAAAGCACTTAAGAATAACTACAATGAGAAGTGAGCGACACATAAATGGAGCTTAGGAAAAGAGAAGACGACATTAAAGGAAGAAACTTTAAAAATATTTATAAAGCCAGGTAGCTGAAGAAAACAGTAAAGAAAGATCAAAAGGGTTGGGTGATGGGGGATGGTAAATGAGAAAGAGAATAAAAAAGGAAAAAACAAAAGTGGAGATAGGATAAAATTCAAGGGAATGGAAAGAGAAGGAGGAGAAAGAATAAAACCAAACCTCAAATTTTTAAAAAATGGAGCTGTTGGGTCCAGAGAGGATAAACTCTGGGGAGGTCCACTGTAAGCCAATGGTGCAAATGAAGTTATGTGGGGGAGATGACCACAGAGTGCCTGCCCCTAGATGAAGTTCCTTTTGGCCTTGGTGTTAATCTATATTCAGGGCACTAATCCAGAAGTGGTTCGTGGATGCCCTTGAGGAGCAGAGTGACTGATTAAATATTCATCTGACGGCTCTTTGGGTTCTATAGGTCTGGAGCTGAGCCTGTCTGAATCCAAGAACCAAAGTAGCCTCTGCCTCACTGGTGTAGCTCCCAACTACATGGCTCTAAACTCCCAGAGAGCAGAGCTTGCACTGGGTGTAGATGATAGTATAGGATGATTACCAAGATACAGTGGGTAGGAAGCACACCTTCCTTCTGTTGCCAAAACTGCTTACAATAGTTTTAAGATGGTCTCACTGTGTTTGTGACCAGGCATTCACCAGTTAGTCTCGCTGTTTTGCCATCCCTGCTCAGCTTCTCCCCCCAGCAAGCATTCAACCCACTTCTGTAATCTTTCATCTGAAATTTAGGGTGCCAGGATTTTCATTTGTGTCTGCTGTATTTGGTCTCTTATACTTTTGTTGTAGAGGGTCCTGTAGTGCATCTGCATGTACGCCATATTGCCATAAATCCTAAGTATGTGTTTTGTTTTTTAAAAATAAATTGCAATGCTTTATTTAAATATCAATAGATACAACATCACTTTCCATTTTGATATCTCAATGTCTTAACATTTAAAGATTAAAATTTTTTCTAATTGTTGTTGTTATTAGGTGCCATCGAGTCAGTACTAACTCGTAGCCACCCTATGCACAGCAGAACGAAACACTGCCCGATCCTGGGCCAACCTCACTACTGTTGCCACGCTTCAGTCCATCAATGCTGCCACTTGACCAGTCCATCTCGTTGGGGGTCTCCCTCTTTTTTTCTCACCCTCCACCTTACCAAACATGATATCCTTCTCCAGAGACTGGTCCCTCCTGACAATATGTCTGAAGTATGAGAGATGAAATTTGGCCATCATGGCCTTCAAAGAGCACTCTGGCTGCACTTCTTCCAAAACGGATCTATTGGTTCTTTTGGCAGCCCGTGGCACTTTCAATATTCTCCTCTAACACTGTAACTCAAAAGCATCAGTTCTTCTAAGGTCTTCCTTATTCTCTGTCCAGTTTTCACATACATATGAGGTTATTGAAAATACCATGGCTTGGGTCAGGCGCACCTTAGTCCCCAAGCTGACATCTTTGCTCTTCAACACTTTAAAAAGGTCTTGTGCAGCAGATTTGTCTAATGCAAAATGTCATTTGATTTTTTGACTGCTGCTTGTGTGAGTGTTGATAGTTGATCCAAGAAGAATGAAGTCCTTCACAACTCCAATCTTTTCTCCATTGATAAGAATGTAGATTATTGGTCCAGTGGTGAGGATTTTTGTTTTCTTTACATTGAGATGTAATCCATACCTCAGGCTGTGTTCTTTGATCTTCATCAGTAAATGTTTTAAACCCCCTTCACTTTCAGCAAGCAAGATAGGTTATTTTAAATAACTTATCCCATGATTGCTAATTTCAGTAATTGTATAGAATTACTTATGTATGAAATATGAGTTCCAGTTTCCATGTAACTTAAATTTTCTAAACAGATAATTTAGGAGAAGTGTTTTATTCATTGGAAAAGAACAAGACTACATGATTGAGGGTTCCTTACGGTATTGTTGTTAGGTGCCATTGAGTCAGTGTCGACTCATAGCAACCTTATGCGCGAAGGTTAAAACACTGCCTGATCCTAGGCCAACCTTACTACTGTTGCCACACTTGAGTCCATCGATGCTGCCACTTGGCCAATCCATCTCTTTGAGGGTCTTCCTCTTTTTCTCTGACCCTCCACCTTACCAAACATGATGATATCCTTCTCCAGAGACTGGTCCCTCCTGACAATATGTCCGAAGTATGAGAGACGAAGTTTGGCCATCTTGGCTTCCAAGGAGCATTCTGGCTGCACTTCTTCCAAAACAGATCTGTTTGTTCTTCTGGCAGCCCATGGCACTTTCAATATTCTCCTCCAGCACCATAAATCAACTGCATCAATTCTTCTTTGGTCTTTTGTTATTTACTGTCCAGCTTTTACATGCATATGAGGTTATTGAAAATACCATGGCTTAGGTCAGGTACACGTTAGTCTTCAAGCTGACATCTTGGCCATTCAACACTTTAAAAGGTCTTGTGCAGCAGATTTGCCTAATGCAATACATCGTTTGATTTCTTGACTGCTGCTTCCATGAGTGTTGATAGTTGATCCAAGAAGAATGAAGTCCTTGACAACTTCAGTCTTTTCTCGTTGATTAGAATGTTGTTTATTGGTCCAGTGGTGAGGATTTTTGTTTTCTGTACATTGAGATGTAATCAGGCTGTCCTGTTTGATCTTTATCTGTAAATGTTTTAATTGCTCTTCACTTTCAGCAAGCAAGATTGTATCATATGCATATTGCAGGGTGTTAATGAGTCTTCCTCCAATCCTTATGCCACGTTTTTCTTCATATAACCCAGCTTCTTGGATTATTTGCTCAGCATACAGGTTTAATAAGTATGGTGAAAGAATACAACCCTGTTGCACACCTTTCTTAATTTTAAACCATTCAGTGTTCTCATGTTCTGTTCAAACAGTTGCCTCTTGGTCCATGTACAGATTCTGGAATACTCATACTTCGCACTGTTATCCATAGCTATTCATGATCTACACAATCAAAAGCTTTTGCATAGTCAATAAAGCACAGGTCTGATTTTCTCTGCTTTCAGCCAAGATCCATCGGACATCAGCAATGATATCCCTCGTTCCCACAACCTCTTCTGAATGTGGCTTGAACCCTTCGAAGTTCTCTGTCAAAGTATGGTTGCAGCCGTTTCTCTATTACCTTTAGTAAAACTTTACTTGCGTGGGATATCAGAGAGATTGTCTGATGATTTCAGCATTCCATTGGGTCCCCTCTCTTTGGAATGGGCACGAATATGGATCTCTTCAATCAATCAGCTAGATAGTCACCTTCCAGATTTCTTGGCAGAGATGAGTGAGTGCCTCTTGTACCGCTTAAATTTCTTGTAAGATTTCAATTTTTATTCCATCAGTTCCTGAGCCTTGTTCCTTGCCAGTTCCTTCAATGCACCTTGGACTTCCTCCTTCAGTATCATTGGTACTTGATCATATGCTATCTCTTGAAATGGTTAATAACATTAACCATTGCTTTCCATCTTCTCTTGATGTTTTCTGCATCATTCAATAATTTGCCCAGAGAATCCTTCAGTAACAAAAGTCGAGGCTGTTGCTGCTCCTCTGCTACTCATCCATTGTCATAGTTTTCTGTCCTTGGGTTTAGTAGGTTCAATATGCAGGGAATCTTCAGGTCCAAAGGACATGCTTCACTGAGAGTTCCCCTTCCTGCTTCAGAGAAAACTCATTTTTAAATCCATAATAGAATTCCAGATTTTCACAAATCACAGTTAACTGTGTTAACTAACAATTATTTACAACTGAATTATGTCATCTAATCAGTATTTATCCTGCCTTATCTTTGTCAGGCCCATTAAGAAAAGAGTTGTTTGGTGGGAGTTGCAAAGGCTGACACCAGAAGAGCCCTATTAAAATAATTCAGTATACCACAATTATGTTAAGGCATTTTGTTATCTTATAAAATTTGGTCGTCTTGTAATTTATTTATATTCACCTCTCTTCTTTCCATTCTATGAAAAAACTTTATTGCTTTCTTTTTCTTACTTTTTGTTGTTGTTGTTTAGCAGGAAACACTATATTGGCTAATTTTAAAAGAAAGCAACTTTTATGAATGTCTAAAAATAATAGACTATATCTTTAGAGTCATGATATTAAAGATAGTAAAACATTCAAGAGAGCATTTTTAACATTTTATCTTGCCTTTCCAGCAACAACATTTAGCCTCTTTACAAATACAAACATTAAAGACATTACAGGAAAGCTGGAGAGTGTGTGGGCATACCATTTTTATTTGTTAAGCTAAAATGGTGACAAGAACTAGATATTTTCATGAAATATTTGGAAAGCATAATTGACTGTTCTTTGAAGGTGAATTGACTGAAGTAATCACTCTCTTTTGGGGAATTTTGGTTTAGTTTTCTTCTTCAGTAGGGTATTTGTAGCCAAACATCCAAATGGTTTTTAATTTTTTTGTTTTTTAATTTACAGTTGATTTTAAGTAGATGATAATGCTCCTGAGAGTAACAGTATGATGATACTTATTCTTAGCTATAATTACTATATTTAAAAGCAACCTTTGCATGTGAAAATGTTAGTCTTAGCAGTAAGATTGTATATATCCTAGTATAGTTTATTGTGCTTGAAATGAATTTAACCTGTGGTATTAGAATGCTGTAAAATTTCTTCCTGTGTTATGAGTATAATTTTACCTTGATTTTTTTTCTTTATGATATTTTAAAAAGCACAGTCACAAATTGAGATGGGAGCATATTTCAACACATTGTGTGTTTTAAAACACTATTTAAAGTATCAGAAATTGCCCATGCATTTTTCCAGCTTTTTGTCAGGTTATTTCAGTGTGAATTTTTGTCACTACACAAAGCTTTTCTCAACCTGCGTGTGCGGGCCCCTCCCTGTTCCCCTAAACCATCCACTATATGTAGTTAACTTCCTTCTTAGGCATTAAAAATGGTATTATTTTTGTCCTAATTCAAAGAATTGAGACAGTAGTCTCTGGAATTATTACCTGTGTTCTGTGGGTTAGATGAGGAATCCCTAGTTTTCTTTGTTAAGGGACAAGTAAACATCGCTTCCATAGCCCTGAATAATGCCAAGTGCTACCTACTTGGTATGCAAGGATACCAAGTTTAGCAGAAGAACCTTTATTACTAATAGGCTGTTACCTTATGATTTTAAGGAGTCCCTTTATATCATGATAAAAGTTTTTTAGTAGGAAAATCTAAGAAAATGCTGGGACTGAGGCACTTAGTGTAGAAATTCAGTAAAATTGCATGGGAATCATTTAGTGTATGACTTCATTTCCCCTTGTCTTACCTATCGTTCTCTCAGCCTGACTAAATATGATATTTTTCTAATGTCAGGCATTGATAACCCATAGTTTGTATATCAAAAGGAAAATACCTCCTCACTTCGGAATTCTTTCTTCTCTATTAAAGTATCTTAAAAATTAGAAGAAAAAAATTTGCATTGTCATTTTAAGTAAGACCATCTCAAATGTGATACTTCTCATATGATAATTTAAAGAATTTTTATATTAATAGTATAAAGTATCTGTTTTACTGGTCAATACAAAATTACAAATGCAAGCTAAACTAAGATGCATGTTTATCTGTTTGTTTTTAATGTTTTCATTAGTAAGCATTTATTTTAATGTTATCTAGGCTATCAAGTCCTAGCTCCAACTGCCTATTATGATCAGACTGGTGCCTTAGTGGTTGGCCCTGGAGCGAGAACTGGCCTTGGAGCTCCAGTTCGATTAATGGCTCCAGCACCTGTTTTAATTAGCTCAGCAGCAGCACAAGCTGGTAAGTGTAACTGACATTTTCAGGGATAGTATTTTGTGTTGTGTTTTTACAATATTTTTTAAGTTATATAGTGGTTTCCTTGGGTACTTTTTAAGAAATATCTGAAATTTATCTTTTATAGCAGCAGCAGCAGCAGCTGGAGGAACTGCAAATAGTCTTACAGGCACCACAAATGGTCTGTTTCGGCCAATTGGCACTCAGCCACCACAGCAGCAGCAGCAGCAACAGCAGCCCAACACCAATCTACAGTCTAATTCATTTTATGGGAGCAATTCTTTAAATAATAGCTCACAGAGTACTTCTTTATTTTCTCATGGACCTGGTCAACCTGGAAGTGCATCGCTTGGCTTTGGAAGTAGTAGCTCTTTGGGTGCCGCTATAGGCTCAGCACTCAGTGGATTTGGTTCATCGGGTAAGTTATTTTAAGTTGAGTGTACTCTGCTAAGTGGATATGAGGTGTGTGTGTGCTTTTTATATTAAAATAAGCAGTAGTAATATATAGTTAAAACAAGGCAGAAATAGTGTTGGTGTATTAGTTTAATTTTTAAAAAATCTGCCTGCCAATCTTTAAACATTTGTGAATGTTGAGTTCATTTCAAGCAGTCCATCCTTTACTCAAATATAATACGTTTTGTTTTCCCACTGCCTTTAGAATCATATTCCTGTAATTTTGTTTGGAGCAGTATATCATATGCTAATTACTAGCTCTTCCTTATTTTCTCCATAATATTAATGTGTGAGCAGCTAAATATTTTGCCATCTTAAATGTTTAGTCTTCTAAAATAATCTGTGCTTATCAGATGATTTATTCTTATTCAGTGCTGCTTCATTATGGTTTTATTTATTTAACATAGTAAATAACAGTAAATATACTTTAATGCTCTAAACAGCAAGCCCCTAAGAAACTTTATCAGTGTGCTTATTTTTATTTTGGATTAAATACATTAAAGCCTTATTTCACACAAAATAATATAGATAAAAGTGTTTCTTTCTATATTAATAAGCATTATTAATAATTAGGAAGTCCACATTTTAAATAGCTTCACAAAGAAAAATTATCCACAGAAACTGGTTTCTCACAGATGTGAAGAATAAGTGATGAAGAGGCCTATGCCTGTTCCATGTTCATATCCTGATTATTGTATTAGAATTAATTGAGATTTTCACAGTATTCAGGATACTTAAAAATAAATAAATAAACAAAACACCTAAACAAGAAAGCGGCTTACCCTACTTTTGTTGGTACAGTTAGCAGCCTTTTCTTCATGAGGGCAGGGCTCAAGCCTTGAGAGATTTCCTTTTCTATAGCATTTTAGCGCCTTTAATATCTGCTAATCTTTTTTCCCATCATATCAAATTAATTCCTTTCTGGTGTGGAAAATGGCAAAACTAACATGCCAGTCATTATATGCTTGCTGGTTTTCTAATGACATGTCTCCTGCATTTGTAGCATTTATATTTATAAGAGCCATAAGCTTTTACATGCAGAATGCTCCATTTTTAAAAAATGAAATTAGAGTAAATTAATGTCATTCTTTAAGAAATGGACACAAGAACTGAGGGGAGGGAAAATTTAGTGAGCATCAAGATTGTTTAGTCTTTTAGCTTTCCTGCTTGAGTTTTTTCATCCCTTTTTGGAGTTCTGTATTTATCTCCAGCTCAAATAGTCAGTCCCATAGGACTCATTCTTTGTTTCTAACACGGTTGACAAGAGCATTTCCCCCTTCAGAATTCTAAATATTCAGAATAAAACTAAAAGAATATGTAGCTTTTTTTTTTTTTTTTAAGTATGGAAATAATTTCTAAAGTACAAATTTTAGACCCTAAATAAGAGTAGAAAAGAGTTTTGACTAAAGACAAAAAAACACCTTATTCCTTCTGCTGATAAAATATGTAACTAAGGGTCTGGTACAGCTTTGTAGGCCGCCTTACATGGTTCTTCCAAATACCCAGTTGTTTGGTAGTTGTAGAGACTGTTCCCTGCATTCTAGTTGGCTTAAATATTTTATCCCTTATAAATGTCCCCTGCTGATGCCTCTGCTGAAAGCTTATCTTTACGTCTTCTCATGCCTCCCTTATTTATAAGCACCGCTTACTCAACTCTGGTTTTCAGTTTGGGGTAGTCTATTTTACTGTGCTTCCAAGGACATTAGTGATTGCCACAACTGAATGCCATTTAAAAGCTTGTCATCTTTTCCCTCCTCTTGGACATTTTGTGAGAGTTCATTCAAGTTATACATGTATGTACTCTTACAGCATGTCCACTGTTTGACTTTTTACATTATGACAATTATATACCTATGTGAAATATAAAATACTTAGTTGTGTGCACACACAATTATAATGTTGTTGTCAAGTACTGTGGAGTCTGTTCCGACTCATAGTGACCCTGCACAGGGTTTCCGAGGCTGCAGATCTTTACGGGAGCAGAAAGCCTCATATTTCTCTCGCGGAACAACTGGTAGTTTCAAACTGCCGACCTTGAGGTTAACAGCTCGACTCATAACCACTACGCTACCAGAGCGCCTTACACACCCTTATTTTCATAGCTATCTGATGATATTTTTAATGCTTAAATCTGATAAATACCCTGCTTTGTACTATTAGGAAGCTTAGTCATTAAAATAAAGTGATTAAATCATCCTTTTTCTAGCCCATTAGAAAATGCTACTAGAGTAGACAATTTGTTAATTAACATATAAATTAACAAAATGGTTGATATTGCTTAGTGACTACTGCCTAGTTTCTTAGCTATTTCAGCTATACTTCATTTCATATTTCATAGTCACACTTCAGTAGATAATGTAGGTATAAAGTAAAATTTAGGAAGCCAACTTGTTTTTATTTAAAGTGAACCTGCTACTGAATTATTTTAAAATGCTTGACTTGACTTTTCCTTTTTTGGAGGAAAGTAACACTGCACTTAACAAAACTGGTTTTTTTATGTTTTTGTTTTTATTGTTAGTTGTCAGTGCAACACTGCTGCTAATCTCATTAGACAGCTAATGTCTTTTTCTTTGTCAATTAAATTGTTTTCTAAAATAAATAGGAATTTTAAATATAGACATGTTTTAGGAAAATCACTTTGACAGTGTCCTTTTAAATTAGCATAGTTAATAAGCATACATTGACAATTTTGACAAAACCAACTCATGAACAATTTGTACATTAATATCTGTATATTTGTTTGTGCTATTAAAATGCTTAGAACTACTTAGTACTTCCTTATTATATGATATTTTTAAATGTGAGATTGTAATAAAAAATATGAGTCTTTCGGAAATAGCACTGCCTGGTATAAAATGTTGAATAGCATAATCTTTTGCTTAATACATTAGTGATAGCCTGGTTTTGTTTTTGTTTATCTCTTTATAGAATTTTACATTTTACAAAACCAATGCAATCCATTTTTTTGTTTCATAAACTTAATTTAGGCTACTTACCATGTGCTCTGCTAAATTTCACTTTAGTCTGTATCTTATACGACCTATTTATAAGAGACTTGCTATTAGAAAACCAAAAATTAATAGAAATTTAAAATTCTCTTGAACACAATTGCCATATTGGCCCGAATATAGAACTTGTACTTATTCATTTAACAAGAACTGTAATGTGAAATTCTATTCAAGGTAAACAGCACTAGGTTAAAATATGCTAATCCTTAAAAATAATAATTTTTAAAAATGTAAAAATTTGATCTCATGTGTAAGTTCAAGAGTCCTAGTTATAGGCAGTCCTTATAAATACAAGGTAAAGAATTTAACTATATGTTGAAATACACAACCAGAACTTGACATGCTCTGCTGAGCATGCATAACGCATTAAAGTCATCCTAGAAATGTTAGTCTGCTTTTTTCCCCCCCTATTATTTTATGGAATACAGAAAAGTTAAAAGGATCAGTTAATAGTTGAATATGAGAGTAAGTCAAAGGAATTTAGTATGTAGTCAATAAGAGATATGTAAGATAAGATAAATTATATATATAATCAGAGGGGGAACTTATCAGTATTTCCTTGAGGGACAAGTCTCAGGATGTCAGTAAATAGAATCTTAGGAATGGAAGAGTCCTGAGGGGTAAGTAAAAGCATATATTTTGGTTTGATAACAAGTCTTTTGGTGTGTTCATAGTCATAAGCAGTATTAATTTTCTAAAAGATTGTATTTTCGGGTATATTTTTGCAATTTAGTTAGAGAATAGTGAGAATTTGTAGTATGAGAAATACTGAGGAGTTGCTATCTGTATTTCATAGCTCCCTAGTATTTGGGCCAATATGAACTTAAAAGGCTATGATTTGAACACAAGTAAGTTAAAAGCCAAATCTAATGTGAATGGTGAAGGAAATGTATTAATATTCTGTTAACCAGTATAATCTCTTTTTTTTTTTTTTTTTTTTTTTTGGCATTGAGCTGAAGTTTAAGAACCAGGTTCTAGAGATCAGGACACTACCAGATTTTAACTTTATTGGAATTTAACCTCTAACATGTCCTAAAAGAGACCACTTGTAATTGCAGGGTTTATAATCATACCAGGGTATTAAAGCACAGTAATCATATGTGTCAGTAGTAACTATGTGTGAAATAATGAAACATATGACTGCTCTGTTAAGTATTTGGTTAATGTTTTGGGGTGCATTTATACCCTTTTATGATTAATAAGTTAGTGTATGTAGTTATCACAGTAATTATCTTCTCCATAATGTTTCTAAAAATAATTATTGTGATCACTTCTTTTATTGCCCAGCAAGAGTTGGGGATAGGTTTTATTCAGTTAACACTGTATGTAATTAGGGTTTTTTTTATTTCTTCTTCAGTTGGCAGTTCTGCAAGTAGTAGTGCCACAAGGAGAGAGTCTCTATCTACTAGCTCTGACTTGTACAAAAGATCTAGTAGCAGCCTAGCACCCATAGGGCAACCATTTTACAATAGTCTGGGATTTTCCTCCTCTCCAAGTCCAATAGGCATGCCTCTGCCAAGCCAAACTCCAGGACATTCACTTACGCCACCGCCATCACTTTCATCACATGGATCCTCATCCAGTTTGCATTTAGGTAAAAAAAAACAACCCAAACCCTTTTTATTTGTATGTATACATGTATGTGTGTTTGTGTGTATGTGTGTGCGTTTATAATATATGTAAAATATTTAATGTTCTGTAAAACATGCCAAATTGCTTTTGCTTTTAGATGTTAGCCTTTTGAAAAGGTTCTACTTTTCTGAAAACTCAAAGTGAGGGTCTGATGTACAGTAAGGTAAAGACCCCCTATTGTACCTTATATTCCTTTATGAAATGCAATGGTGTGTTTTTTCTTGTCTGTGCTTTTGATTTGTGTGTGTTTTAGATCATCTGAAAAGTCAACTATTGATACATAATAGTGAAAGAGGGATTTTGCTAAAAGTTGTTGCACACCAGAAGAAACCATTAGTCACACAATTACTGACTTTAAATAATCATTTAGTTTAGAACAATGGTTTTTGCTTTGCCTTTTGAATGCCTGGCCATTTAACCCAAGAGGTTATATCAAGAGATGTGAAATTAGTATGTTTGTGAGTGAGAGAAGCTTATGGGTTTGGTCCATGTACTTCTCTAAATTTTGAATGTTTTGTTAATTTAAGAAAAAATGTTTTTTATATAGTTGGAGCATTTAGAGCCTTTATATTTATATCTGCATATTGAAATTCCTTACCCTGTCCACCGGATTATTACTTTGGAGATTGCCTCCTCTTCCCCCCAGATATATTTAACCTTTTAATTTTGCTAAGTCGGTTTCAACTCATAGTGACCCTGTATAGAGTTTACAAAGAATGTCTGGTGGATTTGAACCACCGACCTTGTGCTAGCATTCCAGTGCTTATCCTACAGTGCCATACTAGGACTCCTTTAAACCATTTAGAATAACAGTGTATTTTGAGGTTTTTAGATACCAGAGACTTTCTGATACCTTTGTCTGGGTCCTTTTCTCAATGAAATGATTTGTTAAATTAGAATTTTTGATACCCTAGCTACTGCAACTAAAACTGAAGGATTTTAATGCTGACTTTTATGCTTGGAGCAATTTTGATCAGAATGTGATTTTTTTTTAAGTGTTATTGCTCATGTAAGTAGATGTATTGTAAGTTAGTCACTGTTTCGGCCCCTAGTCCAATGGGTATTGCTATTTTTTTCTAAAGCTCACTAATAACAGTAAATATCCATCATAATAAGTATCTTTTTAAGTCATCCTCATTGGGATTTATGTTGTTTCAAGGTGGGCTAGATTTTCTTTTTTAAAGACCTTGGTCCTCTGCCCAAATTCTGTTCTTTTGATTATTTGCTTATTGTATTGTTGTTGTTGTTGTTAAGTGCCGTCGAGTCGGTTCCGACCCATAGCGACCCTGTACAGTGTTTCCGAGGGTGTAAATCTTTACGGGAGTAGAAAGCCTCATCTTTCTCCTGCGGAGCGGCTGGTAGTTTCGAACCGCTGACCTTAAGGTTCGCAGCCCGATTCGTAACCACTACGCTACCAGAGCTCCTTTTGTATATATTTAATATATTGAATTGGGTCCTTAGATCTGCTATTTGGAGATTACCAATTTTTAGCCTAACACCATCTTTCATTTGTCATCTTTTCTTCTTAGTCACATGAGTTAAACAGTTCCTCATTTCTATTACTATGCAGATAACTACCATTCCCCAACTGCTGTCCCCTCTCCCTACATAAGACTTATCTTTGAAACTTTGAACACAAAATCTTGGAACAAAACGAACCTTAGAGTAGATTTACTATAATAGCTGTGTGTTTTACTCTTTAAGATTGTATTTGTCATGTCCTGTCATCCCCTCCACTCCCCCATAGGTAAGTTTCAAATAAGATTCCTATTATTCCTTGTGTTGTACTTTGGAGCCTCTATAAATGATACCATTTTTCTATATCTTATTTAAACAAATGCCTTTAAATGTCTCTAGCAATCTAGGCATAAGCCTCTCTACTTTTCTGTAGATAGTAAGGAGTCTAGCCTAATAGATGTTTAAGGAAGGAATTCTAGTCATTTATGGAAAATAATCATCACTTGGACCAGTACTTTTACATTATAGACTGATACTTTTGCACCCTTGCTTAACTACTTGATTTTAAGTTAGTTGGAATTAGTTGATTATTTTATTACGCAATTTTAAGAAGGGACAGTATTATAGTGAATGACATTCCTTGAGACCTAAGGCCCCAAAATATTTATGTAATGAAATAATTAATTTTTAAAGTTTTCTTTGCCTTGTTTTAATGACAAAAAAGCCTATTATCAAATAAGATGTTTTCTATTTTAAAATAATAGGCATTTGATCAGTTTATTACATATTTTTAGCAGTGTTAAATTTTTAATTGTTTTCAGTGTTCATTTTTTAGTGATGATCTTAAATCTTTCTGTTCAGATTTGCAACCCTGATACCGTTTTAATATTTTAACATTAGCATGAAAAATTTATTCTTCCCTACTCTAGTACATACATGAAAGGTAGAGAGTCTTGTTTTAATACAGCCATATTATGATGTGATACCTTTCAAAATTAATAACATTGGAGCTGACTTGATAGCACTTAACAACAATAAGATACTTGGATTCTTGGTGTGGCGCCAAAGGATAAGCATTCGACTTCAAGGTTGGTTTGAATCACAACGTCAGCATTTCAAACACACTAACCGCTCCTCACAAACCTTATACAGGGTCGTTGCGAGTCGGAACTGACTCTATGAGACCTAACAGTAAGATATTTGGAGTCCTGGTGTGGTGCTGTGGGTAAAGCACTGGACCTCAAGATTGGGTTGAACTGCAAGGGTAGTTTGAACTGCTGGGTTGATAGTTCAAACTCACCATCCTATCCTTGGAAACCCTATACAGGGTTGCTATGAGTCAGAACTTAACTTGATGGCACTTAACAATAAAATATTTAAGAATTAGTGATTATTCATTATTCTAGTTTTACCCAGTTGACCCAAATGCTTTGATTGATTCAGGGTCCACACATCACATTTGTTTCATAAGTCTTTTAGTCTGTAACAGTTTTTATTAATTTCTTTATCCCTCTTTTCAATTTCTAGAAACTTAGTCCTGTTGAATTTTTGGTATTGCTGATTTTTCTAATTGTATCCCCATGGTGGTGTTTAACATGTTCCTCAATCCTCTATTGTTGTTAAACACCGTGGAGTTGGTTCTGACTCATATTGACCCTGCACAGTGTTTTCAAGCCTGTAAATCTTTATCCCGTGGAACCATTGGTAGTTTTGAACTGCTGACCTTGAGGTTAACAGCCCAATTCGTAACCAGTACGCTACCAGAGCTCCTTTCAATCCTCTATACTCCCTGCAAACTGAAATTAAGTCTAAGGGGTTGGTTATTTTGTTTTGGCAAAGTGTGATTCTGTATACTCTCATTGCACCATATCAGGAGATACGTAATATCTTTTTGTCTCCATTTGTTAAGTTTGTCCTGGTCCCCCTAATGTTTTCAGCGGCATTTGATTATTATCTAGGTCTACTTTTCTTTAGAGGTTGCAAATTGTGATACTCCATAGGTGAGTAGAAGTCCTATTATGCCATCTACATTTCTTAGCTAGAACTTTATAAGAACTTTTCCTCATCAACTCTGTAGCTATCTGGAAATACTGTTTATATAGGAGTCACAGTAACACTTGATTCTTTTCCTTTATTTACTGATTTACAGAATATTGAGTTGTTAGTGCTACCAGGTTGATTCCTACTCACAAGGACCTTATGCATAATTGAACAAAACACTTCCTGGTCCTGTACCCATTCTCAAAATTGTTATGCTTAAGGCCATTGTTGCTGACACTGTGCCCGTCCATCTTGTTGGAGGGTCTTGCTCATTTTCGGTTACCCTCCACTTTTCCAAGCAACTTCTAAATGTAATTCATTATTCTTATAAGTTGTTCTTTGTCCAACATCATTGTAAATTGATTGTAAGTTGAAGTATTTCCATCCATTGTAGTCTGAAAGATAGTTTCCAGGTCAAGGTTTATGGAATTTCTCATTCTCAACTGCTCCAGTAAGTGTAGTTTTTAAGAATTTGACATTCTGTTTCACCTTTTTCTCCTATTCTTTTTGGATCCATCTGTTTGGAGCCTGATCAGAATAGTTGTCGGTGGCAACTTATTGTTATATGCCGCAGAGTCGGTTCCAATTCATAGCAACCCTCTACAGGATTTCCGAGGCTGTAAATCTTTACGGGATCAGAAAGCCTCATCTTTCTCCCGCGGAACAGCTGGTAGTTTCGAACTGCTGACAATGAGATTAGCAGCCCGATTCATAACGACTATGCTTAGGCACCATTTAATTCTCCTGGTCTCAAGATAATGAGTCTGTGGTTGTTGGAGACTTATTCCTAAAGACTGGTTTCTTCTTTATTTTCCTTCTTTTTGTTTTGCTCAGGATGAGAATAGACCAGTCTTTGTTTCTTAGTTGGCCACTTAAAAACATTTAAGATCCCAGATACTACTCAACAAACAAGAATGCACAACACCGTTGACTAAATTGGCCCACAAGACTATGGTCCTAAGACTTCAAATCCAGAAATCCACTCCTGTGAAGTGTTTGGTTATGTCTAAGAAATATCTGTTACTCTGCCCCTTTGTACTTTATATTACTGCATGCGTATATTTCCCAATATATACCCTCCAATATGCATACATACGTAACCTCTCTCTCTCTCTCTGTCTCTCTCTCTCTCTCTCTCTCTCTATATATATATATAATAAAAAGTGTGTGTGTGTAAAGTTTTGGTGGTTGTTGCAAAATTGTAGGTGTCTTAGCATTTACCAGAAATGTCCATGTGTATGTGTTTACTACTTAGTGACATCTTTGACCTCAATTGTGCTATGTGCACTTTGCCTTTTCCACCACCAAAAATAACTAGTGTGGGAGTCCTGGTGTGGCGCTTGTGGGTTAATGCGCCAGACTGCTAAGCCGTTTGAACTGCAGGGTTGGCGGATCAAGCTCACCAGCTGCTCCATGGAAACTATACAGGGTCACTCTGGGTTGGAACAGACTTAATGGCACTTA